TTATCCATGCTTTTTTTGCACTTGTGATCACTCTTTAACCTTGTGAGCCCTTGGGATGTTACACTAGCTAGAGTGAAATGGAATAGCAAGAGAACCACTGGTGTGCAAAAAGATAAACACGGGAAGTGAGAGAGAGAACCATGTTGTCGAATAAATGAATAAATAAAGAACCCTAAAACTTTAATACCAAAAAAAAAATAAAAAAATAACCCTAACACTGCAAAATAGATAAATATAGAACATATGATGTTAAAAAGGTCCAATGAAGTGAATCTTGGTCTTTATGGATGCGCCAGTCTACTCAAAAATCAAATCAAAAATAAAAATAAAATGAAAAAAGAATTTTTTTGTGAAAACCAATAATAATTGTCAAAAAGCCATCGAAGATTGATAGAAAGAAACACATGGAAATTTCATAAACCCCAATGTGTTCAATGTGTTCGTCTTTCTCCTTAAATTTTGTGAGTGGAAAAAAGTGTTGGTCATGAAGTTGTCGTTACGACTAATAGGAGACACAAAGCTTAAAGGCCCATTCAAGAAGAACAAGAAGATCGAAGCATGATCAATGGATTCCTCAATGTAATCATTGATTTCTGGGGGGAAATCCACCATTTTGTTGCTTAAACTAAGACATAAAATAGTGGAAACATGCAAGGCTCACTACTAGAAATATTAATATTTTCAACGGAATTTTTCCGTTGGAAATTATGAAAATTCCGTTGAAAAATTATTTTTCGACGGAATTTTCGACTGAATTCTGCTGTTGGATAATCCTTCGTCGAAAGGCAATGGAATTTTTTTTTCTGTTAAAATTTGCAACGGAATTTTTTTCCGTTGAAAACTTCAACGGAATGTATTCCGTTGGAAGCCTTACTTTTCCGTCAATAAATAAAGTCATGAAATAAAATTAAAATAATAAATTCCATCGAAAATTTCAACGAAAAATATATCCGTCAAAATTTTTTGTCTCAATTTGCAACAGAAATTAACAAAAATTTCAACGAAATTTTTGACGAAATTAATTTCCGTTGAAAAATTCCGTTACGATTTTCGACGGAATTTATCTACAATTCCGTCTATACTTTCAACGGAAAATAATTCTGTCAAAAAGTTTTGTTTCAGTTTCCAACGGGTTTTATGTATAATTCCGTTGAAAATTTCAACGGAAAACAATTCCACCCAAAAGTTCTGTAACAGTTTGCAACGGAATTTATCTATAACTCCGTCGAAAATTTCAACGGAATTAAATTCCGTTGAAAATTCTTAACCGTTTACAACGGAATGTACATAGAATTCTGTCGAAAATAATATTTTAATTTTTTTTAAAAACATTAAATTCATATGGATTTTAATTCAACAAATTTAATGGCATTTTAAACTGCCAACATAAATATTACGTCATTTTGAAAATTGCTTACAGAAATAATATATACTTTTATACATTATTTTGTAATAGATTATGTTTAAATAATGTACCGAAAAAAGCATATGTTAAAATAATATTTGTAAAATATGTTATTTATTTATGTATGTGTGGAATGTATATTGTCCTCTTGCATGCTCACTCGCCATGTAATAAAATATGTCGAAATACTACACCTAAAAAAAAAAATATGTCGAAATGTTTACCCAAAAAAAAATGTCAAAATTACATATGCAAAACTTTAATTATTTACACGAAAGAATAATTATAACGCACGCCAGATCTTTATCTTCCACTATAGAAAATCAAAGAACATACGAATGAATCCTGAAAAGTTTAAAAATTAATGCAAAAATAAATATATGATCTAAGGATATTAATTTTAGATGTATTGTTGCATTGTTTTTTTTTAATTATAAAGCATACTATTACATTATTTCTCTATTACATAAAATATTGATTAGTTTTTTAATATACGTTTAATATCAAAACTAAATAATCCATATACGTTATTGTGACATTAGGAGAAAGAGAGAAAAATTAAATTTAATGGTATCTTTATGATGCCTTCTGATTCTTTTGTATCAAGTATGTTTTTTAAATTTTATGATAATGATTTGTTCAAAAAATTTAGACTGAACAATGATTCTTAAGTTTTTTTACTATTATATATGTAATTTCTTACAATACTATGATTCATGTACTTGAAGCATGCTGTATCTTTTATATTTATCATATTTTGAAATTAGGAAACATGCTTATGGAAAGAGGTAAGATTCATTCTTGCGCATGATTGATTCACAAGGGATGAAAAAGATTTGTGCATGGGTAAGATGGCTTTGAAATATAAAATCAGACATTGTGGGATATAGATTGGATCCTAGTATCTGGGATGATACCTTGAATTTACTACAATGAGAGGTTGGTATCATTCATGAACATTTTAAGCAAAATTTTCTTACCTCTTTACAACTAACAAGAAATGCAAAGAAATATTTGTAATTTTATTTCCTTTTCACCCTCAAATCTAGTTATGGGAATAAAATCTTCTCGTATATGATTTTACCTGATAATCTCATTTGAAAAAATCACAATCTTTTATGGACAAATAAACAGTGATAAGATATGAGAGAAAAAATAATATCAAAATAGGAAAAAAATTAAAATCATCACCATTGATTCCACAATAAATTATTAGAATCTTAGATTACCAAAAAAAAATTATTAGAATCTTTTAATATAATATGATGATGATAAAAAAAATATGCTAGCGAATTCATATTTTTTTCCTCTCAAATTCACACTTGAAAACAAGACTTAATAATTTTTTATTATTTATTTGGAAAAAGTTCATCAATGCTCTTGTGATTTACTTCAGAATCACTTATGTCCCTGTGATTTTTTTCTTATCACATATGCCCCTGTGATTTGTAAAAGGGTATGTTTTTTATCACATATACCCCTGTGGTTTCTTATTTTTTACAAAGTACAGGGGCATATGTGATAAGAAAAAAATCACAGGGACATAAATAATATTGAAGCAAACTACAGGGACATCGGTGAACTTTTTCTTATTTATTTTACATAAAAAGGGCCGAGCTCCAAAAGCAAAGAAAATCAAATTTTCTTTCTTTTCAAATTGAGATTTAAAAAAAAAAAAGAGAATTTCAACCATATCTTTGTCTATAACAGTAACGATATTTTCCTCTCCCATACAAAATCACTCACTGCCTCGGACAGACAAGGCAATCTGAAAATCAGTATTTGTCAAACGACAGCCAAACCACGTATCTGACGCGCTGATAAGGGCGCGGAAATCACGAACGCTTGTGTTGTCAGTGGGCCCACATACCTCTGTCTCCTGTCCTATATAATAATATTGTCAAATATATTTGTCAACGAAAGTGAGAGAATTTCCAGAGAGAGAGCATAGGGAAGTGCATTATCAAACTATAGAAAATATATATAACATTTGAGAGTGAGAGAAAGTGAGAAAACTCTGCACGCCGTTGGAGTCACTCGTTTCAGAATTTGTTTCGAGGTTTTGGTTCAAAGATTTTTCTCAAGAAACAAAAATTGTGTTAAGAGAAAACAAATATTCAAGAAGTTGAAAGCCATTGACTTTCTGTTTACCTTGGGCTCATTGTAAGTCAGCTTTTCCGTTTTTTTTATTTACTTGTTATCATCATTGTTGAATCAAAAATATTTTTTTTTTTGTGGTTATTGATTTTTATATGTATGATGTAATAACATATAAAAAAAAATTGAACCGGAGCAATGATAAAGATGTTTCTTTTGTGATTGAAATATCACGGTTCGAATTCAAAAAATAATTTTTTTATAATTATTTACAAGTGTAAAGTTAGGTGCAAGTTATCCTCACTCTACACACAATCGTTAGTTGAGTTTAAATGAAATATGATTTTATGTAATAACATATCATATTGTCTGTCTTTTTCTCTCCTACAGATCCCAGAGAGAGAAAGCGTGGAAGGATCTGAAAATAAGGTTTTTTATTTTTTTTTATTTTATAAGAGTTATGTTTTGAAAAATTGATTCTCTAATGTTATAGAGATTTGTTGCGTGCCGTAATTTTTTTTCTTCTTCAAAAAGTGTGAACTTCACAAAATATTGTGTGTAGGAAAATTTGTTGTGTCATGTTAAATGACAAATGAACCATTTTTTTTTTCTTTTTAAGAATAACTTTATAGCTTTTATTTTCTCTTTTCTCTGTCAAATTAAAAGGTATTCTTTTGTTTCCGTACCATGGTTGCTTTCTATTGCGTATAACTTTTTAACCTTTTCTGTGTTTCTATAACATGCATGAGGAAGGGGATAAGAGAGAAAGTGACTGGGGTGTTTGGTGTGTCAACTGGGTCTCTTTGCTTGGATTTGATATGATGCATTTGAAAAGTCAGTGCGCAGTGTGACTTGGGTCTTTGTTTTTTGTCTTTTTCATAAAATAATAATCGATTCTACATTGGTTTTTTTATTATGTTTTCTTCTTGAGGTCAATGTGCATTGTGAATTTTGTTTTAGTTTTTGTCCTTTTCATAAAAAAAATAATCGTTTCTACAAGGTCTTTGGCTTAGACCCTTCTGTGTTTTCTCCTTCGTTAATGTTGTTTGGATTTTTTTTCTGATGTGGAGAGTTTCCAAACATGAGAAACGGGTGTGAACATTGGATCAGAAATGAAGGGTTTTTTCTTGTCCTGTTCCTCTTTTGATCTGTATCTGGAAGAAACTTAATTCCAGAGAGAGAGAGAGAGAAAAATGGGGTAAAAGTGATGCATTTGGCGTTGACTATGAAACAGCTTTTGTTTTTTTGTTTGTTTAAGACTATGGTTTAAAAAAAAAAAAGACTAATATTTTTAATCTTTGACTCACAGAGATTTAAGAAACTGAAAAAGTGCCTTGGCAATTGTGATAGTGACCATTTCGGAAAAGAACCTGGAGAACAAAAGGGTCAGATAAAGAAATATAAAATAGAGAGAGAGAGAGAGAGAGAGTACTTGGCATATAGAAAGGGAGAGAAAACGGTTCATCGTTTTTTTTTGTTTTTTTGTTTTTGAATATTTATGGGGTTTGAGGGTTTGATTAGCAGCAACAGTAGTAACAGTGGGGGTGGGGGTGCAAGAGTTGTGGCTGATAGTTCTTCAAAGAACCACTTCATGCATAGTGTTTCCATTGTTGAGTCGCCTCTTTTTTCTCCACCCATTACCATATCAAAGCAAAATTTCTCTACCATGTTTTTGTCCACTGTATGTTCTATCCCTCTTTGGTTTTCAATCCCTCTCCCTCTCTCTCCCTCTCTCTGTATCTGTTTTATTGTTTCCTTTTTTATTGATTCTGAATTTGATTTTTGTATCTTATTGTTCATCGTTCTTGTTGTTGTTGTTGCTAAAGGGACTATTCTGCAGCAAAGGAAAATGGAGGGTCATGATCAGATGGCTCTTATTGGAGAAAATTTTGAGAATGGTTTGATGGGGAGGATGAGGGATGATGAGAATGAAAGCAGGTCTGGAAGTGATAATTTTGAAGGTGGATCTGGTGATGATCAAGATGCTGGTGATAACACCCCACAGAGGAAGAAAAAATATCATAGACACACTCCTCAACAAATTCAGGAGCTTGAATCGTATGGCTTTGTGAAATTCTGCAATCTTTTTTTTTTTTTGTTTTTTGTTTTTCACAAAATGTGATTATATTTATGATTGAGTTGTCTGCTAGTGGTGATTCTTATATTGGTTTTTGCTCTCATTTGTTCTAGTTTCTTCAAGGATTGTCCTCATCCTGATGAGAAGCAAAGATCAGATCTTGGTAAGAAGCTTGGTTTGGAGAATAAGCAAATCAAGTTCTGGTTCCAGAATCGGCGAACCCAAATGAAGGTAAATTTGGAATGCATTAGTATCCGTGGTGCACTTGTATGTATGTATTTTTGTTGATGCAATTATGTTACTGTTCTAAATGAATTGTTTTTCTTGAATCAGACACAACTGGAACGCCATGAGAACATGATTCTTAAGCAGGAAAATGACAAGCTCCGAGCTGAGAACACCATGATGAGGGAAGCTATTGAAAATCCAATATGTAACAATTGTGGTGGACATGCCATTCCTGGCCGAATTTCAATGTCTGGGATTCGACCACCAATGGGATTGATAGGAAACCGAGTCCAGATTGATCCATCTATGCTTGTTAATCTTGCAGCATCTGCTATGGATGAATTAATTGGGATGACTCAGATAGATAACTCTCTTTGGATTAAGAGTTCAGATGGAGGGAAGGAAGTACTGAACCATGAGGAGTATGCGAGGATGTCTTCTATCTATAATGGTACTAAACCCATTGGTTATGCAACTGAAGCTACAAGAGAAACTGGGCTAGTACTAATTAACAGTTTGGCCCTTGTGGACTCATTGATGGATGCGGTATGATACCCAACTCATAGATTTAGAGCAGTCACTTACAAATTAAGAATTGATTCAAAAAAATAATAATCTTAAACTGCATTGTATTATGTCTTGTTTATCTTCTAGATTTGTTCTCATAAAATTTGCATATAGTTAAAAAAAAATTTCTTTTAGTTTAGTAAAACAATTTAATGTGCTGATATTGCTTGTGATTGATTGTGATTAACGTTTAGTCTTGAATTGGTGAAAGTTTGTCAAACAATTATTTGCAATTTTTATTTTTCTACAACATTTTTTCAATGAATTTTTTTTTTTATGATATCCCATTGCTTTTCAGTTCCATCTAACTTAGTTGAGACAACATATATCTTAGAATTTGTTATTATTGCATTGAATTTGAGCCAATCATCAGATTTTTGAAGCTAAGTTTCACTGTTGCAGATTACATGGATTGATCATTCCCAGTATGATGAGAGTGTTATCCCCCAACTCTATCGCCGATTGGTTAGTTCAGGCATTGGATTTGGTGCTCAGAGATGGATTGCCACTCTCCAAAGGCAGTGTCAATGCTTGGCAATCCTCTCTTCCCCTTCCATCCGAGCTGAGAACCCTAAAGGTATGCATGCCAACAGCTGTTAAATAAGGTGACAATAAAAAAAACTTGATCACTTTGATATATATGGTGAACTTGTCATTGTTAAATAAGGTGACAATAAAAAAAACTTGATCACTTTGTTAGGAGAAGATCACCTTTGATCTTATCCTTTAGCAACTAAGTCCTAGTTTTTAGCAAGAATAGTTTGTTATTATTCCATGTATAGTTTGTTGAACAATGTACTTTATTCTAGTTGATCCTCCTCCTTGATTCTGTATAACCATATAAAAAACTAAGAGGATTTGAATATGTTGTTATATTTAATGAAATGGCTGATAGCCAATATATACACAAGTCGGTTATACAGAATCAAGGAGGATCAACTAAAATAAAGTATACTGTTCAACAAACTATACATGGAATAATAACAAACTATTCTTGCTAAAAACTAGGACTTAGTTGCTAAAGGATAAGATCAAAGGTGATCTTCTCCTAACACACTTTGATATATATGGTGAACTTGTCATTGTTAAATAAGGTGATGATAAAAAAAACTTGATTACTTTGATATATATGGTGAACTTGTCATTTTGATGGAGGACATAATTGTTTCCAGCCCTAGTAGGCCAACCCGGCATGAAAAGCTTACTGAAGCTCACGCAACGCATGACAGAATGCTTCTATTCTGGGATTTGTGCTTCGTCTACACGCAAGTGGGAAATCATTCCTCTTGCAACACTTGGTGATGACATAAAAGTGATGACCCGGAAAAATGTTTGGATGCCGGTGTCGAGGCAAAGGCTGTTTGACTTCCTGCGTGAGGCACGGACGAGAAGGCATTGGGACGACTTGGCCAGTGATGTTACAGTGAACGAGATTCACAGTATTGTTAAAGGGGAAGGACAAGGAAATTGCATTTCTATACTTCGCGCTAATGTAAGTCTTATCCTCTCACGTGTCATTTAACATGCGTCACTTGATTGTAGACAAAATTAAAAGCTATTCTTTTTTCTTTTTAAGAGTGGGGTTAGACACTGGTATTCCACTAGAGTCAGGAAAGACCTCCAACCTCTTTGAGGATTTCTAGGAGAGATTACATATCACCCACCAACAAAGTTCTCACATCGGCCAGCGGGCTTTGAACTCACGCCCTTGAGGGGTATGGACCAAACCCTTAGCCAACTGTGCCCACCTTTGTTTGCAAAAGCTATTCTTTCATCACTCTATACTAACAATTATTCTCTCTAGTTGTAGGAATTATTAAAATTGTAGGAATTTAACCTTTTATCTATATAATATAAAATAAAGGGAGAAGACTGAATAATATTATTATATAATAAAAAAATCATTAAACATAAGAAAATAAAGAAACTAATCTGTAAATAGTCTAAATTAGATTTGAGTAGTATACAATATTATCTAAACATTTTAGATATTGATTTTTTTTTCTTCATAATTGTGAAAAAAAACCCCTCAATTACAGAAAACAGTTAAATACATGACGGCCTGTCATGTAACTCCCAATGAGTATATGACACGCAAAACATATTTTTCAGTTCATTATGTTACTCTTTAAAACACATTTTTTTCTTGACTAATCTTTTCTGGAGTTGCATGCAAGCATGTAACAATTCCATAAGAACAGGGTATATAAAATATTTTTAATTGTTTCACAAAAAAAAAATGTTTAATAGATGAATGCGTACACAAAATTGTAATGTTGAAAGAGTCATTTGTATATTTATCAATGTCTAATTTACACATGAAGCAATGATTGGATTAATGAAATTTAACGCTTACACAAAATTAAGTGTGTGAAAAGACTTGCAAAGCAAGCTGTTATGTAATGTGTATAAATTGATTTAGCTTACACCGCCAAACGTTGAGTTTGGTTGGATTTTATTTCTTACATCTATGTTGGGGTCTCTTTTCATCCTTATTCTTTCGGGTAATTGGTCACGTTTCAAATTTCATCTAGCTATCCGACACTAAAAGCCATTTAAATTTTTTGTACCAAAAAAATTTAATATAGTTTTGAGATATTTATCAATATATGAGACATCTTGTCTGACATTACTTTACTGGAAGATGCTAGGAACAATAATTTTTATTTAATTCTTTGTTTATAAATTTGCTTTTTAACTCTGAATTAATTTTTACACACTGAAATTATAAAAAGTTCTATAACATTAGTTGTAATGTCATATGTTTGAGAAATTATATTTTATCGTGTTTAAGTTAGTCCATGACATCTTATTGTTTGGTCAATAGTGACAGTGCAGGATGCAATTTGAATTTTGTCATTTTATTTTTTTGTATTACACCCTGTTAACTTAGTTTTGTCACTTAAATTTATTTTTAACTTAGTTTTGACATTTTCATTTTGATAGCGTGCTGGAGCTAGTGTAAATATGAAATTGTTCCGGGACTATGCCACAACAGCTTCAGTGAGGGAAGGCGATCTAAAAGTATTGGAAGTCCTTATCAATAATGGGGCATCACAAATTGCATGTGAGGAGGCTTTAATGGAATCAAGCCACTTTGGACGGCCCAGATTTGCTGAACTACTCATGCAGTCTGACATGATCCGTCCTGAAGTTGCAGTTCATGCCCTTGTATCTGCTTGTTGCAGAGGCTTCGTTGAGGTTGTTGATGTACTCATCAAGGTAAGCTATGGTAAATGTAGCTCAACTATGAGCTATGGTAAATGTAGCTCAACTATGCAAAAAGAAATGTAAAGTGATATATTTGACGAGAAAGGTTATATTTACAAAATTTTTGTTTATAAACTCATACAAATTACACAATATCTCGCCGGTAAGACACTCTTGAGTAAAGTCTTACGGGTAAGACATAGTATAGTTTGTAAGTTTACAAAAAAAAAAAAAAAGTTTGTCGATATAACTCTCCTCATATTTGATTATTAAATGACATTGTTTCTGTATATTCGCAGCACGGAGTGGATGCCAATGCAATTGATAGAACTTTGCTTCAATCTTCAAAGCCATTTCTTTACGCTAATGTTGATTGCAATGCATTATTTGCTGCCGTTGTCAGCAGACAGATTAATGTTGTCAGATTACTCTTGCAGGTGAGCATTTGGCTTACAAATGGGATAAACATGTACTAGGTTCTTGAAGTAATAATGGTGTTAGTTTATAAGACACTACAAGTCATGTCTTTTTGATTCTTTGGGTATGTCATTATCATGTGAGGAGATTCCAATGATTAATTAACCTTGAAGAGGGAGTTAGAGGCATTTGCACTGATGCATATAGAGTTGAATTGAATCAAAATGTATTCATTATGGTCAATTTGCGAAATTACTCTTGCTTGAGAAAAGCCAAGATGCACCTTAAATTAGCACCTTGGAGCAAAAGAAAACAATTACTGTGTTCAAATTAAATATAGGGTTTAGTGTCCTATGAAATCCAACATAGATATGCTGCTTCTTAAGTGTGAAACCAAACATTGATAAATACTTGGCTAGCTCGAGTCTAACCTGACTCTGATACAATTGTCAGGTGGTTCCGGGAGTAGTCCATGACGAGGGACCACCACCAATGGGTTAAGCTAGACCACCATATCAAATGAGTTCGCATCATGTTACAACCCAAAACCTTAAGATATTGGGTTCATGAGTTCTTTCATTTATATATATTTAACTTAGCACATTACCAACTAATGTGATACTCACCACACTTGAATATTCCAACAAGGAAGAAAGTTGTGAACCAAAATGGCATGAGCATCATCTTTAGCTACATTAACTATTGATATCAATATATATGTTTCTACATTCATTTTCTGATTTTGGAAACAGGTTGGGGTACGGCGTGATATCAAGGTGAAACTGGGGGCATGGTCATGGGAAACGGATACAGGAGAAGAATCTCGTGTAGGTGTTGGACTAGCTGAGGCATATCCAATCACGTGGTGTGCTGTGGAGTATTTTGAATCCACAGGTTCCATATTGAAAATGCTACTCTGCCCCTGCTCGCTTAATAGTTGGCATATTGGGAGGACTCTCTTGCACCATGCCATCGTTTGTGACAATGAAAAAGCCGTAACTATACTTCTAAATAGTGGTGAATTTACTGAATTGGCAGTGCAAACTACTGAAGAAACCAATGTACACCCTATTCACATGGCTGCAAGGTTTGGATCATGTAACATTCTTAAAAGCCTGATTAATGCTGGTTGTAACTTGGACTCCCAAACAAAATCTGGAGATACAGCATTGATGATCTGCATAAGGCATAAACATGAGGAGTGCCTTAGAGTCCTAGCATCAGCAGGTGCTGATTTGGGATTGGTAAATTCATTTGGTCAATGTGCAACTTCAATTGCAAACTCTCTTCAGTGGACTGAAGTCTTCCATAAAGTAATTTTGGATGTTATCAGAGCCAGAAAGGTTGTTAAATCAAGCAATGCCTCTAGATTTTCTGCTTTGTTATTTGTAACTCAAGCAAACAATATAAAGGGTTTGAAGAGACTCATTGAAAACAAGAACTTGGATATAGATGAGCAAAATGGCAATGGATTTTCAGCTGCAATGATAGCTGTTGCAGATGGTAGTGTAGAGGCTTTCAAGTTGCTACTTTATGCTGGTGCTGATGTAGCTAAGCTTAAAAACAAGAATGGTTTGACAGCACTTGATCTCATAGAAATGAACCCAAATGAGGAAGTGTTTCACAAGGTGATAATTAAATATGCATTGAAAAAGGGACGCAATGCTTCCATTGAGATGAAACCTCTCCACATTGCAGCTCGCTATGGGGACATAGATAGTGCTCATAAACTATTAAATGAAGGGTACGATGTTAATGCTTTGGATGGACATGGATATACCCCATTGATGCTAGCGGCAAGAGGATGCCATGTTGATATGTGTAAGCTTTTGCTCTCACATGATGCCAAATGTTATATTGAGAATGAGAAACATGAGACAGCACTTTCACTTGCTAGAGAAAATGGTAGAGGAAATGATGCTGAGCGTGTGATAATGGATGAGCAAGCTCGAAGATTAGTGTTGTATGGGGCTAATGTGATGAAGCATACAAAGTGTGGTAAAGGGTCACCTCATAGCAAGGTACTGGTAATGGTGGAGGATGCTGGAATTCTAAAATGGGGAAAATCAAACAAGAGAAAAGTGGTTTGTAAAGAGGCTGTGGTTGGAACAAGTAAAAGTTTTCGATGGAACCGCAGAAAAAAGTTTGATGTTGATGACCCAGGAATGTTCCATGTAATAACTACAGAAGGTAAGCAGGTTCATTTTGTATGTGAAGGTGGGATTGAAATGGCTGAGATGTGGGTAAGGGGGATTAGATTAGTGACAACAGAAGCTATTTTTGGCAGAAAAAGATGATAATGTCTGAAGGTGCCATGGCTAGAAAAACATGGAGAAAGTTGGAGATATACAATGCTTGTTTTGTTCTTGATACAGATTAATTTCAGGTGTTTACTTTTCTTTTTTTTTCCGTATAATTTAAGGATAAAGTATTTTTGTAACTTTATTTATTTATTTATCATATGAATTTTATCAAAATACTCTTCATTAATTCCTTTAAAATTATGTCTTCGTTAATTCAAAACGATATAATTTTGGTGTCACTGAAGATAACTGAAGAAATAGTTTACCCATAATTTTTCTTTTCTTTTTGGAAATATTTCATCGATTCACTTTGTGATTAGTCTGATTCGGGACGGATCCAGAATTAAGGCTTTAAATCTCTTTTAAAGATGGTACTGAGAAGGTTCAAACACATGCTCTCACTCTACCTGCTCAATTTTCATGTTTCAACTGAGCTACCACCATTTAGTATAATTTTATGTGTCTATACTAATTGCTAAATAATTATATATAACTCAGGCAACTGGTAGGACTTAAAAATAAAATATGCGATGTACATGTTAAATGTACTGTCTTTATGCCGAAAAAAAAAAAAAAAAAAAAGAAAACAACTGTGGTTATTTTAAATTTTAATTTTGTTAATTTCTTGAATTACGTGTATTAAATTTATATTCTGAGATGCAGAAGTTAAAAATAATAATATTATAATACAATCAGCACGAGATTCAAAATGAAAAGAAAAAAAATTAAAATACTTTGAAGAAATTCAAACCCACTAGACTAGATCACTGCAGCTTGAGGAAGATCCTATAGAAAAGGATTAAACCAACAAATTAGAGTCAATGGCGGCTAATAAGAAAGTTTTCATATTCAAAAAGTAACAATCAATATGTTTCGAAAATTTGAAAGAATGTGGGATACTAATGAGAATATATAGTAAAAACGAAACTGTTTGGTCATATAAGAGGTTATAGAAATAATTATAAAGATAAATAATTGGGCAATAAAATAAGAACATGAAGTTACCAAGAGTTTTATCCGTTTCTTATTTTAGAAGTATTTTTTTTATAAAAAATAAAGTTATTTATAATTTTATAAAAATATTTAGTTTTTAAAAAAAGTATTTAACTTTTGATTTCTATTTTTATAATAAGTATTTTTTTTTAAAAATTATTTTTTTTAAAAAAAAAAGTCATCCGAATGTCGCTAAGGTAACCCATATAACATCAGATGATGCATTCTCATGTGACATAGCACTTCAAAAATATATCAAACAAAAAATATTATATTATCCTCGTTCCTTAACAAGAAGCGCAGGGAAGAGAAAGATTTCATGTTAACTAATTTTTTTAAGGATAACATTTAAACAGGTCTAACGTGATTTATTCAAATTATTTATTCTATGTCCAAAAAAAATTATTTATTCTTTAAATGGTTCTCTACACAAATTGTAATAAGGTATAAATAAATATGGTCAAATATAAAAGATTTTCAGAGATTTGTAAATACAAAAATACAAAAATATCTTTGGATAGATCTCTTTCCTATTTCTCCTAAAATTACTATTTGTTTAACTAGTTTTCATTTTCTCTCAATAAATATTATTTTTTATTTTGTTTTATTCATTTAATTATAATTATAAAATATTAAATATTTTGATTAGATTATTCAATATTATTATTAGATTACGATTTATTAATGAAATAAAAATATTTCTATTTTTATTGTATAAATTTTTTATGCCACACTTAAGTAAAAATGAATAATAATTTTATTTTTCTTTTATATATATATAAATTCCACTCACTTTTATACGTATATAACAGAAAAAAAATTATATAGCAAAAATATAAATGTTATTCCCTATATATTAGATATTAGGAGATATAATTTTCTATGATATATACACCATGTGTGCTTTAAAAAATGCATATAGAACTAAATTCACATTCGATTTAAGATTGACTAAAAGATAATTTTAATAAAAAATATCAAATTATATTCAGATATCTCAAATTAAGATATCTTTATGCAATAATTAGATCTGTCTAATTTTATCAAAGTTCTGATTTATAAATGAAAGTATATTAATTAAAAATATCCTTCTAAATATAATATAATGTTTTTTGGTTTAATAATTTCAAATTGCAATTTCACATAAATCTAGTTAGAGCTTGTCTATTCTTATGTAATAAGAGAGTATATATTTTATGCTAATACACAAAGTGATAAAACCTACTACTTAAAAAAAAATGACAACACAATTATCTAAATTTCTGTGGCATAAAATATAAATCTCCTATAACATAATAGTTATAATTCTCATTTGGTTGTTGTTTATAAGTTTATAACTTAAGGACTTTCGTTAATTTTCATCATTCAAAATGGATAGTTTTTATTAAGAGGATGCTTAGAAATTATTTATAAGTTAAAGTTAGAAAAAAATTAAAAGTTGTTTGACGATTACTTAAAATTTTTGGTTAAAAACACATATTTTAAGATTTTTTTTTCTCTCTATAGTTTTTTATTTCAAAAAATACACATAATTTAAGAAGAATAGATAAAAGCTTAAAACACATTTTTTTTAGGAACTTTAGACTTTTAATTTTTTTTTTCAAAATTTATTTAATCTAACTAGTGTCTACTGCTTATAAATAATTTTTAGCTTTGAGAAAAGAAAGGATGCAAACTCCACCAAGTGGAGACTCTCAATTGATGTCAGAGTGTGGATTATTGTTTACCAAAAAAAAAAAGGAGTGTGGATTATTTAAGGGTTAAAAAAGTCTTAAGAGGTGTTTGTTTGATACAAGATATTTTTTAAAATTTTTGAAAAACTAAATTTTTCTAAATTTTTAATGGATTTATTTTTTTTACAGTTAATGTAGATAATTTATCTACACTGAGCTCAAAATGACTTCGTTTTGAAGCGGAAATTAAGGTATTTTTGTAATTATAATTTATTTCAGGGTTATAATAGTCTTTTTCATCATAATTTTTTAATTTTTTAACTCAAAATAACGTCATTTTAAGAATGAATATAAATAATTTATCTATGTTCATTTCTTTATAAACTCATTTTTAATTTACGGATATTATCGTAAAACTAAATGTTTTCGTCGTATTTATGAAATTTGAGATTCTCGAATAAAATTTTTTTATCCTCTACCACACCTTAAGCGTCACTGTCACTGTCACTGTCCATCCAGTCATCCTATATCAAACAAGAACTAAAGTATCTGCTCTGTAAGAACAATAAATCTGTTACGAGTCTTTAAATCTGTTACGAGTCTTTTTCTCAATTCCTCGTACCACGTGTCTTGAAACTTATGATGATGATATGCAATCAGAAACTAGTTATTTTGAGTTTTCACTCTTCTTAAATTTTCGCTAAGTTTTCCTCTTTTCTTCCACTCCGTGCTTAGGATTTTCAACACTGAAAAATGAAACTGACCCCTAGAGAGATCGAGAAACTAGCCGTGCACAATGCTGGCTTTCTTGCTCAGAAACGCCTTGCTCGTGGTTTGAGACTCAATTATACTGAAGCTGTAGCTCTCATAGCACTGCAGGTTTGTTTCTTTTCCTCTTTTCTTTTCTTTTTCTTTTTTTAATTAGAAGGTTTGTTATTTAATTTGATTTGTATGTTTATGTTTTTTTCCTATTGCATAGATTTTGGAATTTGTTCGTGACGGTGAAAAGACTGTTGCAGAGTTGATGTCCATTGGGAGAGAACTCTTAGGAAGGTGTTATGTTAATTTTCATCATTTGATTCCGATTGGCTTATGTTTTTTAATTGTTTTTCCTTTCCTTGGATAATGGTTTCATCTCTTTAAATTGATATAATTCTGCGGTAGAAAAAGTGGAATGAACCCTTTTCTTTTCTTTTTTGTTTAGAAAATCTGAATTTGTTTTTATATTTTAACAGGAGACAAGTTCTTTATGCGGTTCCACATCTCTTGGATACTGTTCTGGTACTTGTATCATTTTTGCAGTATGACTATGTTATACAAATATATACTTTCAAAAAGCACTCTCCCAGATGGCTTTGTGCATATAGCATGATTTCAGCTCTGTCAACTTGTTACTCTTGAAGATCTTCCATGTTTTGTGCCAAGAAATTTTTTGAAAAAATAAATATTTCTTTGTTTTTATGATTCAAATTTTTTTTTTTTTTATAGAAAAACTATTTTTAATTTATTTTGGCCCATTTCAATCTCTTTATTATGGGGGTCTTAAAACTTCAAAAGGATGTAGGTCAATTTTTGTTATAATTTATCTTAGTACTCTCCACTCTTCCCCATCCCCCTGGCTCATACAATTAGAGAAAGAAAGAATTTGCCAAATGTTATTATCATCATTTTGTTAAATAAAATTGAATGTAGGTTGAAGCCACCTTTCGTGATGGGACTAAGTTAGTCACCATTCATGACCCAATTGCTTCTGAGAATGGAAACCTTGAACTAGCATTATTTGGTTCTTTTCTTCCAGGTATGCCTCTACTTTAATCTTAAAAATAGATGTTTTATTGCATATATCTACTGAGTAAAATTCTGCTTATAAGTTTGACTTTAAGACGTGACTTACAAACTCTATTTCTTATTTATCCTTTACCCCTAAATAAAATTCTTATGTATTTTTAGTAGTTCATAATCATCATTTCTATTGTTTATAAGAAATGGAGGAATCTCTTCTCTTCTTATTTCTATGTAGAAGTTGTGGGAGAATAAAATCTCTTTGAACTTATTAGAAGCATATATTTTTTAAGAAATGATCATTGACCTGTCATTGATGATCTGCAAAAAAAAATTCTTCTATTTTTTATTTTACTAAACTAGTTTAGTTGACTTTGATTGCTTGGATCACCTAACCAGCTACATTGGCTATAAAGGAGTAAAAGAAGCTTAGAGCCCCAATAATAGTTGTAGTATATGTTTTCAATTTAATAATGAATATATACGTATACAACTTTAGTATTTATCCTTTCTTGAAAATAAAGCATTATTAGTAGTGTATATTTTCTTTTATTCAAGTAGGAGTATAGGAATCTTTTATAGATCAATCAAATTTTATTCCTTTCAGGCTTATGTACATCCAAAATAATGCAATATCTTGCAGTACCAAAATAATGCTCAGAATGCAATTTTGCAATCTACTGTAATGTGGTTTGAAAACCTTTGTTATAGTTGACATACAGAAACACAAAATACAAATTGAAGCCTGTACTTACATTAGCATTTCTCTTGATGGGTGGAAACTGTGTTTGCAGTACCTTCACTTGACAAGTTTACTGAGAACGAAGAAGATAATAGAATTCCAGGTGAAATAATATCTGGAGGAGGAAGCGTGGTTCTTAGCCCTGGAAGGGATGCAGTAATCCTCAGAGTTGTCAACAATGGAGACAGGCCAATTCAGGTGTTTGCAGTGTGTTACATCTAGCAACTTAGCATTTTGGATAAAATCTTTTTTTCTTTGGCATTGAAATGACAAACTTATTTATTCCATTTTAAAAATGCTCTAGTTACATGTACTACCATTGTTTCTAATGCAGTATGATAAAAGCTGTGCACATAATATGAATTAACAAAGTGATGTCAATGAGCGCTACTTAACTGCTACTGGTTTCCTTGAATTTGTTTTCTGATAATTATTGGAGGATTTAGATGGTTTTCAAGGTTGTCTGAAGATTTGTATCTAAGTATGTGTATCTTCTTGACCTCACCGAATCAGCAATGGGCCATCTTTGGGCCATAGGCTTTCAGGAAATAGAAGCTTTTGGCTTTTCTTGTCGAATTTAATATTGTTATAAATATTGAAGCTTGTCAAATATTAACATATTAAAATTTAGTGTTTCAAATATTCCAGCTAATTGAATCCTTGTTTCCCTTTTCTAGCAGAAAATAACTGATGCAACCATTTTATAATATTTATGAAAATTTTCAGGTTGGCAGTCACTACAATTTTGTTGAAGTAAATCCTTGCTTAACATTTGATCGAAGGAAAGCATATGGCATGCACCTCAATATACCTGCTGGGAATGCCACACGCTTTGAGGTGGAATTATGCATTGTTGTCAGTTTTCAAATTTACAATAGTAATTGTAATGTATGGTTCATTGAATTTTTTGCATTATAATTTTTTTTTTTCAGTGCCTATCTCATGTGAGAAGGCTAAACATGTTCAGCAGTTGAACTAATTCATTTATTAGATTACAAATGATTAATCGAAAAATATTTACTCTTGATAGCCAGGGGAAAGTAAAAGTGTTGTACTTGTAAGCATTGGAGGTAGCAAAGTCATCAGGGGAGGTAATAACATTGCTGATGGTCCAGTTAATGATTCCAATTGCATAGCAGCCATGGAGGCTGTGAGCACAAGGGGATTTGGACATATGGAGGAGGAAAATGCAAGGTTTATGATTTGTTATTGAAGTGTTTGTTATATATAACTTTGCTTACATCTTTGCCGATGCCATGCCTGAGAAGATTTCTTACCTCAAATATGAATTTCCCAGGAAAGGTGTCACTGGAAAAGACTATTCATTTACCACAGTAATTTCTCGAGAGGAATATGCTAACAAGTATGGCCCTACTACTGGTGACAAAATCCGTCTTGGTGACACTGACTTGTTTGCTGAAATTGAAAAAGATTTTGCTTTCTATGGTGATGAGTGTGTTTTTGGAGGTGGAAAAGTCATAAGAGATGGAATGGGTCAGTTTTGCGGCCATCCACCTAATGGATCCCTGGATACTGTTATAACAAATGCTGTGATCATTGATTATACTGGAATTATCAAAGCAGATATTGGTATTAAGGATGGCTATATTGTCTCAATTGGAAAAGCAGGAAATCCAGACATGTTGAATGGTGTATTTCCTAATATGATCATTGGGGTAAGTTCCCTTCCAGATATCAGAGGCAATGAGTTGAGTTCCTACATCATTATCTTGATACAAATTACAAACACATCATCCATTTCTAGGCTAACACTGAAGTTATTAGTGGAGAGGGCTTGATCGTAACAGCTGGGGCTATAGATTGTCATGTGCATTTTATATGCCCTCAATTAGCGGATGAAGCCATATCAAGTGGTAAGTTTCATAACTGAAGTGCTCATTACATGTATTTTTAAATATTTAATGCATGCACTAGTGTACTGTATTCATAAAAATGAAAATTTTGGGAGATATTTGAGATCATTTGGTTGTGTTTATGTTATATTTGTATATATTGAAAGCTCCAGTATTTATCAAATTACTTATATTCCTAAGCATCCTACTTGATCCATACTATTCATTGGATTTTATTCAGTCATTTTCTGCTTTATATATAGGTATCACAACATTAGTGGGAGGAGGAACAGGACCAGCTGATGGAACACGTGCTACAACTTGTACACCGGCGCCATTTCAGATGAAAATGATGCTGCAATCAACTGATGACCTTCCCCTAAACTTTGGTTATACCGGAAAAGTCAGTTGTTCTTTTTAGTTTTTTTTTTTCTCTTGTTTTTTGCTTAATGTTATGTGGCGGACCTCTGGAAAACCTCTTTATATGTTTAAAGTCAATTAAACGTTCCATTTGTTGCTTCAGGGGAATAGTTCCAAGCCTGATGAACTACATGAAATAATCAAGGCTGGAGCTATGGGACTGAAGCTGCATGAGGACTGGGGAACTACACCAGCTGCAATAGACAGTTGTTTGACTGTCGCAGAAGAATATGATATCCAGGCACAACTTTCTTCAATAGATTCACTTATTTACTTAAATAATTTTGGTTGATTTCTGTTGCTAACCTTTTCTATAACAGGTTAATATACATACTGACACCTTAAATGAATCTGGATTCGTGGAACATACAATCGCTGCATTTAAAGGAAGAACTATTCATGCTTACCACAGGTATACGTTAACTTTTGAAATTTTTTATAAAGCACATGCATGGCATATGATTGTTATTTGTTAATTACTGTGGTAAATCCATTTTAATTTCATTTGAAAATTCATTGTATAGAAGTATTACCATAGAGAAAAGGAGCTAATATGTAATATCTTGGTATAACATTGGTTTCCATCCTTTATTGACTCTGATCTTATCTGCAAATTGAAATAGGTGATAGGTTAAACCTTTGTTTCTCCCATGCTAGAATATGCACTTCTACAAGCCCTATGTTTTTACATTTTGCGCTCTATCTTTTTTTATATCCTCTATTCTTTTTTCTGGCCTCATGGAGGGTTGAGGTGGGCATGGTTATTGTATGCTCACAGCTAGCTGCCAATCAGAATGGAAATCAAGATGGCTTTTTGGATCTATTTTCTGGTCCAAGTTGGCTGATACTTTACTTTCTTGTGCAGTGAAGGTGCAGGTGGTGGCCATGCTCCAGATATCATCAAAGTATGTGGTGTGAAGAATGTGCTACCCTCATCAACAAATCCCACACGTCCTTATACGTCTAATACCATAGATGAGCATCTTGACATGTTGGTATGAATTAAAACACAGTATCAGTAGTATTAATGCAGCTTGTGCTATTCAGTTCTTAATTTAGACTCGATGATGTACAGATGGTCTGCCATCATCTTAATAAGGATATTCCAGAAGATGTAGCTTTTGCGGAATCAAGGATTAGAGCTGAAACAATCGCTGCTGAAGATATTTTGCATGACATGGGGGCAATTAGCATTATATCTTCTGATTCACAGGCTATGGGTCGAATTGGAGAGGTCCTTCCTTCACTCAAGTCAGCACATCTGTATAAGACTTAATTCTATTCATATTTGTTATGATAAAAAAAGAAATAGAGCGCTTGATAGTGCCAAATTAAATCCTGAAAATGAAATGGTGTGTGCCTGTGGCATTTCTCTCAGTTTCTTTTAAGATCTCTCTGTCATTGTCTCATGTGGAAAATGTCTGCAGAACAGTACAATCATGTCTTACTGTTGTTAATGTGATTATCACCATATGGAACTCCAATAGTTGTCTTTTCACCTCCACCTCCTTTTTATTTTTTTCATTTGTAGTGTATCCATGAAAATCAAGATCATTTTTTTGATTCTGAGGATTATATTGTTGAATCATTTCTTCCTTAGGTGATAAGCAGAACTTGGCAAACTGCCAATAAGATGAAGTCACAAAGAGGACCACTACAGCCTGGTGAATCAGACAATGACAACTTTCGGATCAAACGTTATGTTGCAAAATATACTATAAATCCAGCTATAGCTAATGGTTTGTCACCTTACGTTGGTTCAGTTGAGGTATGATGTTTTAATGTTTAGTGCTTTGTCAAATTTTCACAAAAGATATACAGGAAGTTTTTGTGTATTTCCTTTGAAAAAACAATGGTTGTAAACACCATCGTACTTAATTACCTATGATTAAATATAAAAAGATTAAAATAAAAATAAAAATGTAGAAGCATACCCCAGGTGGGAGGGATTTACTGGCTTGGCAAAAACTGAACCCTGATATTCAGAAATCAAGCTTTTTTACTTCTGATGTGTTCTCGTTTCCATATTTGGACAAAGTTAGTACTAATTACACAACACAGGTATGGTCAGCTATTCATATGGAAGCATCTAAGTGGTCCCTATTAAACTTTTAACTTCATGGAATTCAGATTGAGCCACATGTATAGCTGTGTATTATTGTGCATCTAATTACTATTTTTTTTTCTTCACAAATTAACTTCAATTAACATATCACACGACAGCTATAAAGCTGATGCTAATCCTTCTAATTTTAATTAATTTGACCTCGGCACCCTCATTTATACCTAGTTTTGCAGGTGAACAAGTTAGCTGATCTTGTGTTATGGAAGCCGTCATTTTTTGGAGCAAAACCAGAAATGGTGATCAAAGGGGGTGTGATTGCTTGGGCTAACATGGGTGACCCAAATGCAAGCATCCCAACCCCAGAACCGGTAATGTTTTCATCTATGTCTATATGTATATGGAACATCTTATACCGGTACAAGTTACACTTTCAATTTTGATCGTGGATCTTTTTTATATCTAACAACTTTGATTTATTAGACATGTGAGCTGTTATTGCAAGCAAATCAATGATTAAAATTTGATGTAAAACTTCTTATTCCTAAACCTGTGTAAGAATAACATGCGGCAATATATATATATATATATATATATATATATATATAGGGAAGGGTTATATTTACAAACTTTTTGTTTACAAACTCTTACAAACTATACTATGTACTCCCGGAAATACACTAGGTTACACTATGTATTTCCGGAAGTACATAGTCTGCTTCGGAGTATTTTAGTGGAAGTGCTTCAACTAAACTAAGAAACACAATTCTGTAGGTGATTATGAGGCCAATGTTTGGAGCATTTGGCAAGGCTGGTAGTGCACACTCCATTGCGTTTGTGAGCAAGGCATGGAACCCCTCTTTCTTTGTCTTTATCTTTCTCGTAAACAGGCTGCATATATTTGTGTTTGTTTCTCTTCAAAGTTACAGACTCACATCACATCATTGCTCTGTCACAAACAGGCTGCTTTAGACAACGGAGTAAAAGCTTCATACGGACTGAACAAGAGGGTGGAAGCTGTGAACAATGTGAGGAAGCTCACCAAACTAGACATGAAACTGAATGACACCCTTCCAGAAATCACTGTGGACCCAGAGACATACACAGTTACAGCAGATGGAGAAGTTCTTACCTGCACTGCAGCCACTACTGTTCCTCTTTCTCGAAACTACTTCCTCTTTTAAGCTCAAACTCTTCATATCCAAGAAACTTTTAAGGAACAGTGGCTACCACTGTTGGCAAAAAAAAAACATCAAAATGTCACGCCAACAGTAAATTTTGCCAAAATGCCATGTGGCATATTTCGCTACACTATGTAGCAAAATATGCCATGTCAGAACCAAAAATTCCACGTGTCAAACAGGGAGAATTTCGCTGCACAGTGTAGCGAAATTCTCCCTGTCTGACATGTGACATTTTTGGTTCTGTGCATTCTGACGCGGCATATTTCGCTATACCGTGTAGCGAATTATTTGCACACATATTTCGCTACACAGTGTAACGAAATATGCCACGTGGCATTTTAGCAAAATTTACTGTTGGCGTGACATTTTGATTTTTTTTATACAACAGTGGCACTTTGGCCACTGTTCCAACTTTTAAGCTCACTGTAACCAGTCGTGGTTAGCATGTCTGTATGTACAATGCACTATTTTCTTGGCAGAAACTGTAAGCATACACATATTTATGGATGGCCAAAATTAATAATTTTTTGGCCAAGGTTGCATCCTACAATTATATTTTTATTTTACACGAGATTTATGGTCAAGGTTTGTGTGTCCCCGTTAGGTAGTAGCACTCGCAGCGAGTTTTCTTCCCAGGTAACATAACAGATCAAATTAGAACAAGAAAAGGATTTTAATATTTTCATTATAACTTTGTGTCTGACTTCACAACAAAATGTTGTGAACCTACAAAAAGTCTCTTTTATAGATTAGTTGGCTGGCAATGGCATCATGATAAAGTACAGATTTTACGTTCAAAACGACTTTGTTTCCTTAGTTGGAAGGGGAAGCAGGACCATTGTTAACGTTGAAGTCAAAAGAGCCACTGACGCCTAATCCATTACCCTCTTATTTCTATCTAAAAAGGATGGCAGTGGTTAAAGATGGAGGAGACATTAAATCACACGTTCGCAAGCACGGTAAACTTTGTTTAAGAAAAGTTTGAAAACAGTATTTTAATTAAGGCTTTAATGTTTTTATAGTCAATATAGATAAGTTATTTATATTTACTCTCAAATTGTGTTGAAAAATTATAATAAGAAAGACTATTATAATCCTAAAATAAATAATAATTATAAAAATATTTTGATTTCCGTCTCAAAACGACGTCGTTTTAGATTTAATATAGATAAACTATCTACGCTGACTAATTAAACAAATATAATAGTAAACAAAAAAACACACTTGCATTTTGCAAGAGCAGCCACCCTTAAATTTGCTGAAATATGATGAAAAATTGAAAACTTAAGCACCTGCTCGTGTTATTTTATTTTATTTCTTTTTAATTTTCCTTTAATAAATTGATAGCAATGATCAGTCAGACCCATTCGCAAGATAAATATATTAATACTACGGGAGTAGCGGTACTCCCATTTTCCAAAATCAGAAAAAATTTATACTATTTAAATCCTTGGTTTTTTTTGTGTGTAATTCCCTAAGGGGGCGTTTGGTACACGGCATTTGGCCGGATTCCCGGGAAACTGAATTTTTCTAAATTTTAAATTTCTGAATATTATCATATACTGAATGTAAAAATCATATTTTTGAAAATTGAGATTCCCGGACAAATAAAAATTTCTCCTGTACCAAACGCCCCCTAAGTCTCAATTGTTTTTTTTTTTTTTTTGGAAATTAAGTCTCGATTGTTTACTAATTTGGGAAGTGACGTTGTTGGTAAAAGGGGAGTACCAAAAAAGTCTTCGGACATTGGCAGAGGCTTACCAACGTGGAACATTAACCACTACACTTTTTTGCATTGTTTAAAAACTCGACTCGGTCATCGACCCGGTTGGGGTCACGGGTCACGGGTTCACGGGTTCAATTGGGGGGTCAGAGGATCACTACGCTGACCCAGTTTTATATATTAAAAAAATATAAATAGATATATTCTATATGTAAATATTAAAAAACAAATCACTAATCATTAAAGATTCAAAATATATTTAACATAATTCACCAATTATAACCACAAGTCAATATTATACAACCTAATTAAAGTATCAAGATACCAAAGTACAAAACTCATATTCTAATGGGGTAACTACACTGACCCGATTCTGCCACTTTTGAGAAGGTTTCTGACAAAGAAAAATTTAAAGGAAGTAAGAATGAGTTTTTGTTTTCCATCGACAACCCGTAAGGATTTCATTGAAGGGGTAAAATTCTTACCTTTTCTAGAAGGTTCACGGCAGTGAGGTGAAGATTGAAAACATTAAGGTCACTAGGAGAGAAGAGAACAATTAGATTTAGGTTTGTAAGTATTTTTATTTATTTTTTTAATAAAACAATGTTGTTTCATGAAGAAAAAAAATTAAAAAAAAAATATGCAGTGACCCCCTTTGACCCCTCTGACCCGGGAGTCATTGAAACCCGGCCGGACTTTAGAGGTCAAAGGGGTCGATATGCATATAGGGTCCAACTTGTGACCCCAACCCTCAGAAGGGAGGGGTCAGGGTTGACCCGGGTCAACCCGGGAGGTGGGGCGGAGTTTTAAAACACTGCTTTTTTGGTATAAATTATTATTATTATTATTATTATTATTATTATTATTATTATATCTTTGATGATTAAGGAAGTTATTGCAAAGAAATTACCGAACAAATAAATTATTATTATAATTGAATAATTGAGAATTGACATAGTCACGTATAAATTATATATGAGGTTATTATACATATAACGCTTTTCTAATATTCAAATTTAGATGACTAAGAATGTAAATTCATATTTTAATATAAGTTTATCTCTTTTAAATTATTTAAATTTCAATATAAATGCATTCTAAATATTATATATATGAATTAATAATTAATTTTAATTATTTGTCGTATCACTTGACGTCCCATTCACTTAAAACTATGTTATTTTGGATATTGATTTTCCTTATTTAATTGATCAAAAATGAACATCATGTTCTCTCTCTCTTTTTTTATTATCATTTTTTATGATTACGATTCTCCCACTTGACAAATCTTTACGTCAAATGACTTGACATCCGATTAATATATATATATATATATATATATATATATATATATATATATATATATATATAAATGTCATAGATTATTTGCATTATATGAGAATGAATAAAAATAATTATAAACAAGAAAAAAATCTTTCACTTAAAATAATTCAAAAACACCAAAATAAAAAAAATTCAGAATCGTTTAAATATATATTCAGTACATTTTTTTATTATATTATATTTATAAATATCCAAGTTTTTATATATTATCTATATTTTTATTTTTTTTAAACAATGAGTATTGTAATAAACAAAAAAAAAAAAACAAAAAAAAATTGGCCCCAAGCCAACCCATTAAAGGTTTAGTATAAAAAAAAAAACCCATCACCGTGTGACATTAAACCTGGTTTTCTTTGTTCTATGTAAAGACATTAATTATAAATGTCGCACGCCCACACGAAGAAACCCTCAATGGCCTTCAGGACTTCCAGGTTACCATTATAATTTGATTAAAAGGTACCGCGAGTGTTCTACAATTCTTCCTCATGACCAAGGTACTATATTTGCTACAAGCCATGGCAGATTGTTAAATAACACAGAAACCACGCTCAACGTAAGAGGGATGCAAGAGGAATGCCTCTCATGGAACATGAATATGTCCAAAAAACTAAACATAAATTTAACGACTCCCATTAATTTCATCAGCACACTCCATCTTCGTTGAATTTTTAAATCTTGTATTCATCAAGAGTTCATTCTTATCCACGATGCAAGTGAATAACTTGAACAAGCGTATAAGTTCTATTCAAATTTTAACATCTCACAGGAGCAAGAGAGAAGCACGAGACAGGCACACACCTTTCATCTCCCTTTTAACGAATACTGAGAAGTATGACCACATACATCATGCTGTCCATCCTTATAATCTCATGGCAAACAACATAATTTCATAATAGAAAGCGCATCTCACATAATTACATATTTGTAGGAATATATGTTACATTCCAATATTCATAAAGTTCTCAAGTCTACTCATAAGGTCAATTACATAAGCTGGGAAATCAAGCTTTACAGCATATAACATACATAGTTGAGTTATCTACTCATACATCATACTAGTTACTAATGAGAACTCAATAATTACTTTTTATCATAGTAACATTCGACCAAGAAGGGAGTAAACCTCCCATTCCCATGCGCTAAACGGAGGAACATTCAGCCATAAATCAACAAACATCTCTCATTCATAAAGGTGGCTTAACATTTTGTAAAATTATTTATTGATATGCCACGAGTAAATCTTCAAAATGCCACACCAAATCCTACTCAGCAGGACTTCCTGCGCCTGCCCCGTGTCAAAAGCGGTTTCGCTGGTCGGCCAGCAGGATTTAAGTGTGGCATTTTGAAAATAGAATTCCAGCTTGTGGCATATCAATAAATAATTTTAAAAAATATGGCTAATGGATACTCTGTCCCTGATTTACCATCAATCCACATAAAGATGAAATTTTTAGTATGTTGCTAAATTCTTTATTTCAACCTTAGTTATTTGGCGATGATGCACATTTGACTGAACTTAACCCAAAAAATCTGGTTACAGTTGTTAGATCTAGAAGAAATTAAAAATTAGAAATATATTTAATCCAGACCCAGGTCAATTCTCTTCCAATTAGCTCAGGCAAAGCTTCACAACCTTCATCCTGGGTAATTCCTTTTAATGAATATGGTTTTCCCAAAAATAATTTGATTGACCGTCCAATTTAACAGCACATTTAAGCAAGCAATAAAACTGCAATGTTACAATCCATCAAATATCCCTTCAATATTAATCTAAAAAAAATTAATAAACAACATAAGGATTTACTAGAACATGCACAACAGAAATAAATAAATGATTATGTTCTTAAAATCCCAAGTAGTCGAAAGAACTTCAGAAACGTAATAAAACAAATCAAGGTTTGCATGGTACCTCGAGAGAGCCTGATGGAACAAAGTTTCATATATTCCAGGGTATACAGGTAACATCCTCAACCTGCTAGCTTTGATAATTGATACTGCAGTGATATTCGCACACAAATGTCATAAAAGAATTCTCGGACTTGTGGAAACTCAATCATTACATGATGAATAGATATGATAAGATATTTTGCTTTGACTCGTGCTTAAACAAGAGTTAATACTCTTCAGTACTACCATACACATGAGACAACATGCTTAAATTCCACATTTCTTTTCATGAGGAATGAAAAAACAAAGTAGAGTGCATAAATGTTTTCAAATTCAAAAAGCTATCGAAGACTCCGTAAAATTTTCAAAATAGTAGATTTAAAAAATCATTCCCCAATTAAACCTGACTAGCGAGTGTGAGATCAGAGCAATTCTTGTATGAAACTTTATCCTTGCAAATCATTGTAAAGAGACTGTTTTCCAGATTTGAACCCATAACCCTTCAGTCACAAAAGAACAATTTTACCACTGCCCCGGTTCGTTCTCTGTTTTCAAAACAGTAGATATAAAAAAACAATTCCTTTCCCTTGATAATTGATGCTTCAATGCTCGGAATTTATAGTTCAAACCAAAAGCTAACTAGCCATCCCTCTTGAACGGTACTAAATTTTTACCCCCAAGAGTCCATGAAATATTTTTAAATCTATTCATTTCAGTTAGATTTAAAGTTGAGAGAACATTCACGTGTGACTTCAAAATAAATAAATTCCTGTATAACAATTATTCTGGATTCAGTAAAAAGAAATATAAGTTTACTTGAGCAAAAGTCATTTGTACTTTACATAGAAAGAAATTTCAGGCGGTTAAAATCCAAATCAGAAAAATTGTCAGCGTCTACAATAAAATAATACATAGCCATGCCATGTCAGAGATAAAAAAAAAATTGCAAACAGCAGAATTCAGACACAAATACACACATTAAACATCAGACAATGTTTACAGAGTAAGACTGGCTTGGACATCATCTCTCTGACTGACAAACATAATTGCCATTCCTTAATATCCAAGATATCAAGGGGTGCATTACCTTTGATGTAAAAAGTAAATATCATTTTCTTCAACGAAATGGACAGAATGCAATCTTCCACATCACACGAACTGTCTCTTGCAAACACAATATGAACATTAAAAAAGCAAAGAACTAATATCCACTAGAAAATCCATACTGCTTCAATATTCAATATCAGATTAAATCGTTTACAAAATGCCAATGAAGATATGTTACATACACAAGTTTCAGCAGACGTTAACTATTCCTATTTTCAGAAGGCAATTATGCCCCACCTTGAACTGCAACAGTGACCCATGTCCATTTCTATATGACGATCAAGAATGAAGAAGGTTAACCTGAAATAAATCTGGTTCCCAGGAGGTAAAGAATACATATCTCGACATAAACCAACAAGTGCCTGATAAAAAACAGCACAAGTGATCATCTAACAAACAAGGTTTGCAGCTTCTGTTTAGTGCATACTCTCACCTCAAGCATGCAAAAATTCAGCAGATTGTGTTAGAATGATTATCGAGACCAAAATTTTAGATTGCACAATTCTTAACCAAAAATACCACCAGTCCCTGATTCACCCTGCTGTAACTCCTTCCGTCGCTGCTCCTTTAATGGATCCGGACTCCTTAATATTCTCCGCATCCGCCTATTTACATAAATATAAAGCATATATATGAGTCAAATCAACAAGTAAAATTAAAAAGGTATTTGACACAGCAATTTCTTATTAGGTCACCTGTCTTGAGCATGTTGAGCAGGGAATGTAGGCATGAATTCTTTAGACTTAGGAAGGGGAACTTCACGAAACCACTCGTGGTTAAGAGCAGCTTCAGCTGTGATCCGCTGTGTATAGTAATAATAACAGATCATATTCTTAATAAACACTAAAACAAATATGTATTTACTACATTAAGTCAAGCAGTTCATGTATCATTTTACCTTTTTGGGATCATAAGTAAGAAGCTTGTTCAACAAATCAAATCCAGAATCAGAAAGAACTGGAGATCCAGTGAATGATGTTGCAGGAAACTTTTTACGCAGGAGATTATACCTGAAAGGAACATTCTGGTGGTTAATACACACTACAAAAGTCACGTAAAAGTTAAGTCACCAAGGGAGGCCAGATAGCCAGACCAGAACGACCCAGAGTTGGAAGCCTGGGAAAACAGTGGCAAAAAATGAGAACAGAGGAACGAAACAGTCAATGTCTTAAATAAAGGAAATAAAAAATACTTACTGATGCTTGACAAAATTGACCTTGACTCGAGGTAATTCTGAGAACCCAGGCCAAATAGATTCATTTGGTGTGCCAAGAATTCTGAAAATCTGCAAGTAAATCAATGTGTGTTAATAGATCTAAGCCACTTTAAGAGGCACCATAAGTTGAAAGACTAGGCAAGACAGAGTAACACATGGATCAATCTTGTAATTAGTCATAGGGTCATTTCTGTAATTAGCGTTCTCATTCTGTTCAGCTAACTAATTCTGGTTACAACTAAACCAGATGACGTGGCATATTTGTAAGGTCTATATTAGACCATTGTGTAACACATGTACGATCAATGAATCACTTTATTCTCTTTCTCTCTGTTCACTTTCGCTCTCTCTTCTCTCTCTCTATGACTTCTTTGATGGTATCAGAGCCCTCTCTCTGAGGGCCTGATACAGATCCAACCACTTGATGTCTTCCGCTTCGCATCCACCGTCTCAGTCGTCTTCAGCCGCCGGAACAACCACCGGAAATGGAACGACAGAGCACCGGTCATCTTCTCCGTCACTGTTCACGCATCAGATCTCCGTCAAACTTACAGAAAGTAACTTTCTGATCTGGAATCAAGTTGTAGAACCAGTAATCACATCTCATCAACTTCATCACTTTCTTGTTAACCCTAAGATACCGCTTCAGTTCGAATCTGAGCAAGCTCGTGTTGATGAAGCTGTTAATCCACTTTATACTGAGTGGATTCGTCAAGATCAAATGCTTCTTTCATGGATTCTGTCTACTGTCTCAGAAGAAATCTTGAACGAGATCCTCGGTGTTTCTCATGCGTATGAAGCATGGGAGCAAATTCACAAGTTTTTCCAAGGTATGATGAAGTCCAAAACTCATCAGCTCAGATCTGAACTTCGCACCATCAAGAAAGGTGGCAGATCTGTTGCTGAATATCTTCGTCGAGTTAAAACTATTTGTGATGAGTTAAAGGCTATCAAAAGTCCGATCTCAGTTGAAGAACAAACTGAACTGATTTTAGCTGGTCTTCCTCCTGATTTTAATGCGTTTGTTACTACTGTTCAAGCTCGTGAAAATCCATACTCACTCAATGATTTACGTGTTGAACTGATGTCCTATGAAATGATGCTTGCTAGGCAGAATGAAACTCTTCTTTCAGATTCAATGACTGTTAATGTAGTTCAGAAGATATCCTCAGATCCAAAAGAAAGTTCAAGATCTGATTCAACAGCTATGAGACCTCCTTTTGCTCCTATTCAAGCAAGTCAGAATCAAAGATCTTATAATACAAATAATGAAAGAGGAAGAGGAAGGTTTTATGGTAGAAATAACAGAGGAGGAAGAGGCAGAGGTCGAAGCAATATTCAATGTCAACTCTGTTACAAATTTGGACATGGAGTTCAAAGTTGCTGGTATAGATTTGATGAGAATTTTGTGCCCGAGTTCTCATCACCAGAAGCTCACCAGTTCTTTCCACAACCACAGCCCTCATTTCAGAGATCATTTCAGTACAATAGACCTGCTAATGTCAACCAGCCTCAAGCTTTGTTGACCACAAATCAACCTCAACATCATGCTTCACAGCTTTGCAATATAGCTTCACAATCTCAAGGACAAGGACTCTTGCCTACTCCTTCAAATGTTCAGTCCATAGAGTGGTATCCAGACTCAGGTGCCTCTCACCATGTGACTGCCAATCCTCAAAACCTTCTACAAAGCACACAACTGTCAGGTGCAGACCAGGTTTACATAGGAAACGGCCAAGGTTTGCGAGTCAATGCTACGGGTTGCTCTTCCTTTTCTTCTCCCCTCCAACCACACACTCACCTACATCTTAACAATTTATTACTTGTTCCCTCCATAACTAAAAATCTCATCAGTGTAAGTCAGTTTGCTAGAGATAACAGTGTTTATTTTGAATTTCACCCTTTCACTTGCTTTGTCAAATCCTAGGCATCTCATGAGGTCTTGCTGGAAGGTGCTTTGGGAACTGATGGATTGTACCGTTTTCAAGGAGTTAATCTTTACCCCAATTCAAGTCTGCCATCAAGCCAACAGTGTGCTTCTGTTTCTACGTCCAATTTGGATTCTTGTAGTCAAAATTCTCTATGTACTAGTTACAGTGTTTCAACTTGTAGTGATACTCCACTCACCAATGTACTCACACCAAACACATCTAATAAAGTCAGCAGCTCAAGTCCTATAGGGTCAAACTATATGTACTCTCTTTGGCATTGTAGACTGGGTCATCCTCACACTGAGGCTCTGAATTCAGTTCTCAAGTCGTGTAATATTTCTGTGCCTAATAAATCTGACATTTCCTTTTGTTCTGCGTGTTGTTTGGGAAAAATACATAGATTACATTCTGGTCCTTCTACCAAAGTGTATGAAAAACCTTTTGACCTTGTTTTTAGTGATCTGTGGGGTCCAGCTCCTGTCAAGTCCTCAATGGGCTTCACCTACTACATATCATTAGTAGATGCCCACTCTAGATACACTTGGATTTATCCCCTCAAACAAAAGTCAGAAGCATTGGTTGTTTTTAATCAATTTCAAGCACTTATATCAAACAATTTTCAGTCCACTATTAAAGCTCTTCAAACTGATTGGGGGGGGGGGAGAGTTTAGACCTTTTCATCAACATCTTAAAAACCAGGGAATCATTCACCGGGTTGCCTATCCTCACACCCATCATCAGAATGGTGTTGTTGAGAGAAAGCATCGTCATATAGTTGAAACTGGTCTTACCTTACTTGCTCATGCATCCCTACCCATCAAATTTTGGGACCATGCCTTTATTTCAGCTGTGTATCTCATTAATTCTCTTCCTACTGCTGCCTTGAATTTTGAGGTTCCTTCTATCAAACTACACAAAACAGTGCCTGACTACAAGTCATTCAAGGTCTTCGGTTGTGCTTGTTTCCCTTTCCTAAGACCATACAACAATCACAAACTGGACTTTAGGAGCAGTGAGTGCATTTTCCTTGGCTATTCTCCTACTCACAAAGGCTACAAGTGCTTGAACTCTTCTGGTAGATTGTTTGTTTCTAAAGATGTCCTTTTTAATGAGTCCAAGTTTCCTTACCCTTTTTGGTACAGTTCATCATCCAACAATGCTACTGATCATTCCTCTCCTCCTGTTTCTAATTTGATCCCTTTGGTAGACTCTCATATTAAGTCTAATGCTCCTGTACGTCCATCACTCTCCTCATCACAGCAGAGCTTGACCACTCAAAGTTCCCAAGCATCCAGCAGCAACACCTCATCACCACCATGTACCGTAGCTCAAACAGATTCTTCTTCATCATTCTCAAGTCATGTTTGCTCTTCTGGCATGTCACCTTCACACAGCAATCCTTCCAACTCTCCGTCAGTCTCAACTGCAGCCTCTTCAGGTTCAAATTCTCCTGTTCCTATTTCATTTAGTTCTTCTTCTCCTTCTTCTGTTGACTCTGGTTCCGAATATATACCCTCTGGACCTCTTCATATTTCACCTTCTCGCATCATCACTACCCGCTCCAAGACTGCTCCCCACCCACATATCTTGTCCACCTCTGTTGAACCTGTCAGCATCAAACAAGCCTTGGCCAATCCCAACTGGTCTGCTGTTATGCAATCTGAAATGTGTGCACTTCATGCTAACTCAACTTGGTCTTTGGTTTCTCTTCCTCCCAACAGAACTGCAATTGGTTGCAAGTGGGTTTTTCGTGTTAAAGAAAATCCTGATGGCACTCTCAACAGGTATAAAGCTAGGTTGGTGGCCAAAGGTTTTCATCAGCAAGCTGGGTTTGATTACACAGAAACTTTTTCCCCAGTAGTTAAGCCTATTACCATCCGCACCATTCTTACTGTTGCTATCTCCTTTGGCTGGACATTAAGGCAACTGGATGTCAATAATGCCTTTCTTAATGGCACTCTTGATGAAGAGGTGTACAGGCAACAGCCTCCTGGCTTTGAGTCCCCAAATAAATCACTGGTCTGTCAGTTACATAAAGCCCTTTATGGCTTGAAACAGGCCCCAAGAGCTTGGTTTGATAAGCTCAAAGCATCTCTACTGCATCTTGGATTCGTTGCTAGTAAATGTGATCCTTCACTATTTATCTACAGGAAGTCTGCACAATGTGTCTTTCTCTTGGTTTATGTAGATGATATAATCATCACTGGAAATGACTCCTGCTTTATTCAGACTCTTATTCAGAAACTTGATTCTGAGTTTGCTCTCAAGGATCTTGGGACTCTTGATTTCTTTCTTGGTGTTGAGGTTCAGAGAACATCTTCTGGAGCACTGCTTCTTACTCAGTCAAAATACATTCGCAGCCTTCTTAGTAGAGCTCATATGGCATAAGCCAAAGGTATTTCTACCCCTCTTCAATCTGGCTGCAAGCTCTCCAAATATGGGTCCAATTACTACTCAGATCCATCCTTCTATCGTTCCATTGTTGGGGCTCTCCAATATGCTACACTTACTAGACCTGATATCAGCTACTCGGTTAACAAAGCTTGCCAATTTATGGCTCAACCTCTTGAAGAGCATTGGGCTGCAGTCAAGCGAATTTTACGTTACTTGAATGGCACCCTCCATCATGGTATGTTACTGCAGCCATGTCATCCAAGTCACTTATTCTCTATCACTGCATTTTGTGATGCAGATTGGGCTAGTGACCCAGATGATAGACGGTCTACTTCAGGAGCATGTATCTTTTTTGGCTCCAACTTGGTGTCATGGTGGTCCAAGAAGCAGAATCTGGTTGCACGGTCCAGCACTGAGGCTGAGTATCGCAGCCTTGCTCTAGCTACAGCAGAGGTTCTCTGGCTCAAATCTCTCCTTCATGAGCTCCAAATTCAGTTTGGCACTCCTCTCATTTTGTGTGACAATCTGAGTACTGTCTCCCTGTCTCATAATCCAGTCCTTCATGCTAGGACTAAGCATATGGAATTGGATATATTCTTGTAAGAGAGCGTGTTATTGCTAAAGAAATCTGTGTCTGCCACATTCCTTCCTTGGATCAAGTTGCTGACACTCTTACAAAGAGCTTATCTGCCTCCAGGTTTGCTGTTTTGAGGGACAAACTCAAGGTGGTTGACTCGCTCAGTTACCATCATCCACCCTGAGTTTGAGGGGGCATATTAGAGTAGATGAGGTGTACAGCTTATACAGCTGTACACAGGGTCAATCTTGTAATTAGTCATAGGGTCATTTCTGTAATTAGCGTTCTCATTCTGTTCAGCTAACTAATTCTGGTTACAACTAAACCAGATGACGTGGCATATTTGTAAGGCTATATTAGACCATTGTGTAACACATGTACGATCAATGAATCACTTTATTCTCTTTCTCTCTGTTCACTTTCGCTCTCTCTTCTCTCTCTCTATGACTTCTTTGAAGAATTTATCCACTACAAGTAAAAAATGGCATGTAAAGTATACCTTGTCAAGTTGATCAAATTCAGCCTTCCCATTAAATAGTGGTTCCTTGGACAAAAGTTCAGCCATTATACAACCCAGAGACCACATGTCAATGGCTGTCGAATACTGTTTTGTCCCCAGAAGAAGTTCAGGAGCCCTGAGAAACATATAGACAACCATTAACTAAATGATCTCTTCTATTGGAAGAGAATACAATCAGAGATATGTTAAACACACAGTAAGTAAACTACAGTCAAATACCACTAATAAAACCAACACCACAATGAGATGACAGACTTTGAGGTTAATGTTTATAGAATGGATGGAGAAGTACATAAACACTGACATAATGTCAAAAGACTAGGTGTTTAACATCAAGCTTGCAATATTACTACATAAATATTCTTGCAGAATAATAGCAAATTAAGATTAAGATTTAGACCAATGCACGACTGATTTACAACATAATTTTCAAATTCACAGTATCAAAATTATACACTATAATGAAGAATGTAATACAAATTAATCAATGATATGAATAAACAGAAACAAATGGCATGTCTAAGCAAATATCACTCACCTGTACCAAAGAGTAACTACAAGGTGTGTATATGGTTTCAATGGACTCCCATACTGCCGAGCCAATCCAAAATCACAAATTTTTAACTCACCCCGATTATTCAGAAGCAGATTTGACGTCTTCAAATCCCTATGAAGAACCCAGTTGTCATGAAGATACTTCACACCTTCCAAAAGCTGGAGCATTAAGCATTTTACTTCACTCTGGCTAAATGGCTGCTTCATTGCCTCCATTAATCCTTTAAGATCATGTTCCATGTATTCCATTACCATGAAAATACTGTCAAGGCTACTCCCTACCACCACTTCTTTAACGTCAACTACTGATGGGTGGTGAAAGGAAAGAAGAATGTTTATTTCTCTAAGAGAAGTCAGGGGAAAGCCTTCTTTTTCCTTCTCCATCTTCACTTTCTTCAATGCCACAATTTCCCCAGTCTTCTTATCTTTGGCCCTATATACAACACCATATGTTCCTTCATCTATCTTGTTCAGTCTCTCAAATTCATCAACACTTCTACAACCCTGAAGCATGTTGACAACTCTTTGTGCCGGAGCCGGAGGTTCTGGAGTTTTCCGGCTATCATCTTCATCTTCAGAGTCTGTATCTGAGTGATTACTACTAGTTTCACTGTTGCAACCTTGACCATCAATCTCCATATAGTCATCCTTCTCCGATTGATCATCTCCACTGGACGATCTCCCTCCGCTACCTCTTTCTTCAGATTCAGATGATATAGATCTAACCCCTTCAAAACCTTCTATTTTAGATTCCTCTGGTCTCAACATCTTGGTTCTTACTCTCGTACCCAGCTCAGGAGAGAGCCTCCTCCTCGATTTAAGGATTTCCTTGACATCATTGATTTCACCTTCATCAACGGGAGAGTTATCTCCAGCTGCCCATCTTGAAGATAATATATTATGAGTTGGAACATAATCCTCACCTTCTGATAGCTCAGCTTCCGGCTCATTACCCAACCTCTGCTCAGGCAAAAATGAATGCAAACCTGCAAGAGACTCAGATTCAGCATCTTTAATTGACTCAGACATCAATGAAGAATTAGTACCAGTCGGCAACTCAATACTCTCAGCTTCTCTGTTTTGTACAGGATGAATTTCAACTCCATTGTAAGGAACATTAGCTGACTGACGGATTACTCTAGAAACTGGGGATGGAGGGGGAAGAGCAGTCACTGTTGTAGCTACCCTATGTTTGCATAAATCATTCACTTCTTCATCATCCTTATCCCACACTATTGGTGAAAATTTTCTTTTCCTGTCTAGTGGAGATTGAGTCCCGTTTTCTTCACCCCTTGCAACCTCACAGTATTTCACCACTGATTCTGATTCAATTGCATCATCAGACCCACTCTCACTAGAAAGCTCACCTGGTTCTCTGTCCATAGTCTTAACAGAAAACCCACATCGTCTTGGCCCAAGCCCGCCACTGCCGCCGGAGCCCGAGTCACTCCCACTCGATGATGACCGGTAACTGCCATTCGAAGCTTCTCTCAATCTAATATCTTTCTGTCTCGGTCTAATCCTATCTCTTGCATCCTTGTTCCCAACCCTCGCAACATCGCGGCTACCATTCCTAATCCTATCATACTTTTCTCTAGAATTATTACTAACACCACGTCTTGAAACATCAAAATTGGACTCACGCTCCCTCAACTCGTTTTCGCTATAACCTCCATGTCCACCAGCCGCCATATATATATATATATATACTTGAAATGCTAAATTCCACAGAAAACAAAAAAACAAACGAACCACCCAAAATCTCTAAATTGAAGAACGAAAATGTGAATAAATCAAGTAAAAAACCTACCTAGGAACGAAATCATATCCGATAGCAATTCCAGCTCAAACAACAAAAGAAACAGAAAAAAAAAGGAGAAGTTATATTATTGCAGTATTATGCAACTAAAATTGGAAGGTAAATGCAGGATTATAATCGAAACCCTAGAACTTTACGGAGAGGGATAGGGATAGAGATATAGATAGATATGAAGAGTAGGAATTAATATAGTTGCATGATCGAGAAATCTCGATCCTCAAGCAGAATAATGAACGTTTTATACGATCAATATGAATTATGGATGATAGGGAAAGAGCGAGAGGTAGAAGAAGGACAGTGCAAGCGGAGAGATAACAGCGATGCCCGCAGAAAAAAGAAAAGTGGAACACTGCTTTACTTCCCGAAAAACTCTTTTATTATTGCATTATTTAAAAAAAAAAACAAAAAAAAAAAACCTAAAAAAATTAAGAGTTTAATTGGTAGGGAAGGATACTGTAACAACCAAGTTGTATTACTACTATGTTACTACCAATTAATTTCACCGTTAGATCGATTATGTTGATCCAACAGTTATATTTATTTCCATCTTTGTATAATCATGATTCTCCAAATTTAATACTTTATATTTATTTCCACCTTTGTATGGTTATGATTTCTCATATTTAATGTTTTCACTTTAAATATGGGGAATCATGACTATACAAAGATGAAAATAAATATAATCGTTGGATCAACATAATCAATCTAACAGTGAGATTGATTAGTAGTAACATGGTAGTAACACAACTTAGTTGTTACAATATCCTTCCCCAAGATAATTTTATCAATGTCAAATTAAAAATTTAATTCCATATTCATATTTTTTTCGGTAAATCATATTTTTTATCGGGTAAGGTTATACTTACTATATTTTTTTTTTTACAATCTCTTATTATCAAATCTTAACCGTTAATTTCCGTCAATCTAACGGTTATAATTTATTGGGTCACACTTATTAATTAATTATTAAATTTCAATATATTATAATCATTACATTGACGAAAATCAACCGTTAAGATTTTGTAATAAGAGATAATAAAAAAAAGTAATAACCTTTTCTTTTTTTAATATATATTTAAATTGTAATTTTTTTTAAAATTATACTCAAAATATATAAAAATAATTTTTTGATCAAAAAATTAGTGAAAATTAGATTAATATAACTTAGTGAAAAATGTATTAGAAACAAATATTAGAGTATTAAAATCGTATTAGGAACACCAGAAATCAAAACGGGATTAAGCCTAAATAATTATTTTGATGGTAGTTATTAAAAGAAAAAAATATTTATTAATTTGATTAATTATTATTAAATACTAATCTAGATATTATAATTATCATTAATCGATAATTTAAATGATAAGTAATTTATTCTCTTTGTGAACCTGAGTGCTCCAGCCGAATTGATGATTCTTTTTGGATAAAAAAATTAGACATTGTAATTTAAGTAAGTTGAATAGTACTAGACAAATATATTTATTAATAAAAATATTACCAATGTTTCTCCTATTTTAATAAAATTTATAATATTAAAAAATAAAATTTATAAAAATGTTCTATATTTTATGGGTTTTATTAATCTCATGTCAAAGGAGATAAGTTATCTCATATCATAGAGATAAACTTGTGGGCTCCATCATCTGAAAAATAAAAAGAAAAGAAAAAGGTGACACAATTATCGAAAGATGTGTAAGAAAAAAATTTATCACATGTAGCGTAAGAGTAGTTTTCCATATTTTATTTTCTTTAAGTTCCGAAACAATATGGTTTTCGACGGTAGGATATAACCCAACTTTATTTCCCATAAAGATATGTTGGCCCAAAAGGGGTTATGGAAGTTAATGCTTTTCTTCTCGTCAATGTCATTTCATTGAGTTTGAGATGAAGAGATTTCATTCATTGTTTTTAGAGTAAAATTTTGAAGATAGCTTCTGCTTAAAGAGAATAAAATTTGGAGTAGCATCAGCGAAAGATAAATCCTCTGGTTACTACTAGTAGGCAAGCTTACACCAACCCCTTGCTTGAACTCGAATCTGTTATTCTCATTATCCTGCTTCTCTGTAATTTGACAAGTTCATTTTTTCTGTGTGTTCAACGAACAGTGAGATAGATGCAGCGTTTAGTGTTCTTCTATCAATGGCCTAATTTTGATTAATATCCTGCATTATGTGATGACTCTCTTCATATCTTGTTCATTTGGTTGTGTGTTTAGTTGTATTGCTAGGTTGGATCTGTAACTGCCCACAACATGTTTGATATAAGGTCTGAAGTGTGGAAAACTTGTGTCTTGTGTGGAGAACGTTTCAATGGAAGCTGTCAGGTGAAAGCACATGAATGATTTCTTTCATGACTGAAAAGTCATTGTTAGAATCCAGGGAACAGCCTCTTTGCAATTATGCAAGGGTAAGGCTGCGTACAAGGATTTCCTCCACCCCACACTTGCTTGTTGGGTTTTGCAGGGAGTGATTTTGGTTTTTATTATATTTCTAACACTAGTTTTCAAAAAATTTAAAGAGTTTTCCTATTTTCCCAATCCAAATAAAGGGGTGATTTTTGTTTATTAAATTCAGTGGCCTTGCTTGTTTCAAGTGCCATTTATAATGAGATGAACTGTTTACTTTATCATCAATGGCCTGATTATAATGATGATTTCTCGAGATGGTGCTGCATCTTTTGACTTTTGCTTGTTCATGATTGTCTTACTCTTCTTTTTCTTATTATTTTTTAGCCCTGAAGTATCTTTTTCATGGAGAACAATTGAGCCTGGCTTCCTATTTTTTGGTCATGGGGTTTCTAAGGTTTATAAGAAAGTATAATTACCCCTTCAAAGACAAAACTCGAAATAGAGCATGCCCAATTCAGCATTTGCAAAGCAGAGGCTTCTCAAAGACTGAAGTTTACAGTGGCAAGGCTGCAGTGCTTCCAGTTCTGATCATTGGAGCAGGACCTGTGGGTCTTGTTCTCTCTATTCTTCTCACAAAATTAGGTAGTGTCTAAAATTAAAGCATTCCCATTGATTAATGCCTACTGCTTGTTTTGGATGCAGTTGATCTGACATTAGGGTGTTTGTTTGAAAACTATTTTCATACTCATATACTCTTTTCTAACAAACATTCTACAACATGTGCATTTATTGTTTTTGGAATCCAATGCAAGGTTTTAAGTAACATCAGCTGTGAGTTTTCTTCTGAAGGTGTCTGAAAATGCTACAACAAATGTGATAAGATAAATCATGTTTTCAGTTTGTAATTTTGCAATGACAATAATTGTGTTGCGAAGGATTCTCCGTGATAGATAATGCAAAGTTATAAAATGAGTTAATGAGCTATATAGTTTCCTTTGTTAATTTGTGCTAGCTTATCTGAGAATGCTACAACACCAGTGATAATGTAAATGATGTTTTCAGTTTATAACTTTGTTATGGAAGGTAATTTTTTCTTCTTCGTTGTTTATATATTTGGTGCAAAGAACTGTCTGAACAGATATATTTTTATTTTGTTGATCCATCCCACATTGTATTTTTTCTTGTTATATCATCACATTACTCCTATGCTCTCATTCATGTTGATTATTGTTCATGATATGTGTCTCCTTTTGTTTTATTATAGGTATTAAATGCTCAATTTTGGAAAGAAACAAGGCATTTTCTAAGCATCCACAGGCACACTTCATCAACAATCGATCCATGGAGGTTAAAAACACTTTTCAATAAGTTATTTTATTTTCAAAGAAAGGCATCGTGATTTATTTTGCCAGTGGTGCCATTTTAGATATTCCGCAAAATTGATGGCCTTGTTGAGGAGATCCAAAGGTCTCAACCACCAATAGATTTATGGCGGAAATTTATATATTGCACTTCCCTCTCGGGTTCAATTCTTGGATCTGTAGATCACATACAACCTCAAGGTGCTATTCTGTAGTCCATGAGAGCCTATTTCCAGTCTGATAGCAATATAAAGATTACTATTTTCAGTGTAGTTTTGATAATATATAGATATAGCCTTCAAAATATGCAACATCAACAAATCAACTACGTGATGTTGTTCTTTTTGGTCAACATTAAGCTTCAGAAGATTCACGTATCTTGTACTTTTTATCAGATATTGAGCATGTTGTCAGCCCAGTCTCTATTGCACACTTCTCACAGTACAAGCTTACTATGTTACTACTCAAACGACTTGAAAATCTAGGCTTTCAAATATGTGCACCTGAAAGCTCAGAAGGAAATGAACATCCTTGTGAAAAGAAAATAATGATGGGTCGTGAGTGTGTATCTATTGATGCCAGCAATGACTTTGTAACTGTCACTGCATCTTCTATGAATAAAGGGAAGCATGTAGAACAGGATATCCGTTGTAATATCCTTATTGGTGCAGATGGAGCAGGAAGTACTGTGAGAAAACTCGCAGGAATAGAAATGAGAGGTGAAAGCGACTTGCAAAAACTTGTCAGTGTCCATTTCTTTAGCAAAGGCCTTGGGCAGTTTTTGCTTAGGGAGAATCCTGGCATGCTTTTTTTTATCTTCAATGTTGAAGCTATTGGTGTCCTTGTTGCTCATGATCTCAGGCAAGGGGAATTTGTATTGCAGGTATAACATGCTTTAATAAATATAAAAATGTTACTATATTGAATCACAACTGATTTATTGTGAATCAAATGTATGATTTTTGTTGTATTATTGCAGATACCCTTTTATCCACCTCAGCAAACCATTGAGGATTTTAGTCCAAAGGTATCATCCATCCATAACATATGGTTTATATGCAATTTTAAATATTTGTCATGATTTGAGAGACAAAATATCTATGCTGGCATTAAATCTTGGAATTTGTAAAGAGGTCAATAATATATTGTAGTATGCATGTGAACTAGCACGCATGGTATTGGTTATGCCTGTTAATGTGATTGAGCATAATACATTAATGAAAGTTATACACACTGTAAAAGATTTTGATTTGTAGTAGGCATGTGAGAAGTTAATCAGCAAACTTGTCGGTCAAGAGTTTGGAGATGTGGATGTAATTGATATAAAGCCATGGATTATGCATGCTGAAGTTGCCGAGAGGTTTATATGTTGTGGCAACCGAATTTTACTTGCTGGTGATGCTGCTCATCGATTCCCTCCTGCTGGTGGATTTGGTTAGTTGTTCTATCTTTATGCAGATAGTAGAAGTCTACTGCTGTGAATCAAAAATAATCCGTACGGTATTACTTTGTATCTATGCAAAATAGGGGAGGATTTGGATTTTCTTTTTTCCCTTTGAACATGACAATGTCATGTTTGGAGAGATGTAAAGGATTTGTTTGTAATTTTCTCACTTTAAACATGGCATTGTCACTTTCCTGAAGGTATTTTGGATGAGGGAAGAAGAGGGAAATTTTTTCATTTTCAAGTGAACATTCCCATATTTGAGAATATTTTTAAAATGAGAGATTATCATGCAACCTTCTAAACCCTCCTTATTAATTTTTATAAACATTTTATAATTCTCTAAATTTAGAAATGAAAAATTGCGCCTTCCCTTGACCCAAACTCCTCCCATCTACTCATACCCTGAGGAAAATGAGAGGTTTCAAATCCAATTGGGGAAAGGAAATCAATTAACTCAGACGTTGAACATGGCTGGAAATATCCAGTGTAACATGCAAATGCTAGTATTAGATGGAGGCTATTGTTTATAGTTTGGTGCTTCAACTAGGAGCTTGACACAAGAATATCCATGTATTTAGGATGAAGTCGCTGAATGACAGGTACTTGTTTAAAGTCTGTGTCATGAGGATTAAATAATGTGGGTATTATATAATAGTATCTGTTTAAAACACCTTTGGCACAGTAGTTACTTAAATTATTTTGAAAGTGAATGAAAGTACAGTTGCACACCTAGTGGCTTGAAACCAGTTTTACACAACAATAAAAAAAATTTCTTTGTAAGGTCTACGAGTCAAGATTGATCCACAGTTTTTTTTTTTTTGGTACATATAGTGAGCCTTATCACTGTTCCTTTGAGACTGAAAAGTCACAAGTTCGAATCGAGAAATAGCTTCTTTGCAAATATATAAAGGTAAGGCTGCATAGAAGGATTGTTCTCATCCCACCCTCGCTAGTTAGGGTTTAATAGGAAGTGATTTTTTTTTTTGATACATACATTTGCTCATGCAATTCTAGGCCAAGGGTGGTGGTTAGGCAGTGTTATCAAACCTGGCTTGAACCGGTCGGGTCGACCTGGAAACCAGTGAACCGATCATCTGACCGGTTCGAGTCAAGTATCGAATCGGCCATGTATTAGACCCGGTGAAAACCGGTTCGAACCGGCCGGGTTTTATCAAAACCGGTGATCCGGTTGGGTCATCAAAACTGGTGGGTAATGCATTTTTATATATTAAAAAAAAAAAACCTAAGTTGTCTCGTCTTGTCTTTAAAAAGTGTGGAATTCCTTTCAAAAAAATTTGTAGTTTTATTTGCTAGTAGTATACTCTCCTACAGTGATCTCAAATTTCAACTTCAAAGACTGAAGCAATTTGCGGAACAGTAGATTAAGAGGTGACATATTGATTCCTTGTAAATTCATTTTTATGGGAAGAGTTGTTGGTTAATGCCTTACAATTATTAAACATAGTTAGTTGAGGATATTTGGTAGAGGAATTATATGTGACTACCTAATACTTGAATTTTCTTTTTTCTTTGTTTATTTCTTTTATAATATACTATATATGGTTACCATATATGACTTTTTTTATTCTTACAAAAACTATATATGTTAGCAGGCCCTGCATAACAATTTTTTTACATGTATTTGAGTATTTTTATGTATAATATATAGGTTTTCATGTATTAACCTAGGTCATGCGATTCAATCGGTGATCTACCGGTTGAACTAATGACGCAGTACCCTGACTGGGTCGGATAACATTGGGTAAATCCCTCCCTGAAATGGCAACTCTGGGATTCGAACCCACTGTTTTCTGTTATGCTGTTTAAATGAAGCAATTTGACGTAAATTATCGATGTGATATTGCAGGAATGAATACTGGAATTCAGGATGCCCATAATCTTGCCTGGAAAATAGCTTCTGTGATAAAGGGTATTGCCCCATCTTCAATGCTAAATACCTACGAGATTGAACGTAGACCGGTAGTGCTTTTATCCTATGTTACATTTTTTTAATGTATTTTTATATTGAAATTTGATGAATCCTTTGACATTTGTTGCTGTCTGTTGTCAGATTGCTGTATTCAATACGACATTAAGTCTAGAAAACTTTAGAGCTGCCATGTCTGTTCCTGCTACACTTGGTCTTAATCCTACTGTTGCAAACACAGGTACGCACAAGTAGCATATGTAGTGATTTTCGTTTGTTTTGTTCATCATCAATTCAGTTTTCTCAGAAATAGTGATGCACAACTCGTCCCTTGCTATTGCTAAATAACTGAAATTTAACTAATTTTTCCTCATTTAATTGCAGTACATCGATTTATTAATGGGATTGGTTCCATCTTACCGCCCGGATTACAGAAGATAGCTTTGGATGGAATTTTTGCTGTAGGTCGTGCACAGCTCTCAGAATCTGTCCTAAATGAAAGTAACCCTCTTGGATCCTCAAGGTTGGCAAAGCTAACACATATATTTGAAGAAGGAAAAAGCCTTCAACTTCAGTTCCCTGCTGAAGATCTCGGTTTTAGGTATGACCGTGAATATTTTATTTTCCATTACGTAGCTATGCATGACTGACCATTTTCATATTCCTCTAGCTATAGCCGTTGCTTTAGTTTTAAATTTTTATATACTAGTCAATTGGGCCAAATTTGTGACTAGCATCATCTATAATCATTTCCCATTTGCTTAGCATTTTGATGGATGGAACATGAGATAAATGAGCAATTTCAGGGCGTCCGTCTAACTCAACTGCTGATCTTAGGTACCTACAAGGAGCAATTATGCCGGAAAGTAATAATGTTGAGAGTCTTCCACTAGTACCTACAGGTCGTCGGAGGGACTACATCCCTTCAGCACAACCTGGATCAAGACTGCCTCATATGTTTGTGAGAGTAAACCCATTAAGTGAGGTTCGTAGCACTTTTTAATAAAATTCTTTATGTTAAGCCAAATGATTAAGACTTTTTGTCTTCCTTCTAGTGGGTCTTGTTTACTTCTACTACATTATTACTGATTTGCAACTTAAATATAAAAAGAAACTGTATTTTTTCCTCCCTTGGAATTTGGAACTGCTGACTTCATTTAATAGTTCTTCCGGATTAGCTTGTGGATTTTCACTGGTTTAAAACGTCAAAATGTTCCTTCTCTTGTTATATTGTGAGGAGTGTTTTGTAGGAGACTGTTTCTACACTTGATCTTGTGTCTGGAGATGAAGTTGAGTTCATTCTCATCATAGCACCTGTGAAGGAATCTTACCATCTAGCTCGTGAAGCATTCAAGGAGGCTGAGGAACGACAAGTTTCTCTCAAAGTGTGTGTTTTGTGGTCTACTGATTCTGTTGAAGGACTTGAGAAAGGAAGTAAAGCAGCGTTATCACCTTGGAAGAATTATGCAGATGTTGTTGAAGTTAGGTCATCAACTTCGAATTGGTGGGAAATGTGTAACATGACGAACAGAGGGGCTATTCTAGTTAGACCTGATGAACATATTGCCTGGCGTACAATTTCAGGACCTGAAGTGGATCCTAGAGTGGAAATGCAGAGGGTTTTTTCTGCTATACTGGGAGTGCGCTAATAAAATCAATAAATACACTGATGATTTTTGTGTTGATCCTTTCATGAATTCTTTTTATAAGTAGTTTAGTTTTTGGTGGTCACCGATTCTAATAATGAAAACAACCTCTCTGCTTACAAGGGCAAGACTCATATATCTGGCCTTTCTCAGTTCTTCATTTATCATTAGGCCATAGTTCCAGTGGCTGCCTTTAAGAATTATATATTCTTGCACAGGATGCGGTGTAGTTTATGTATTTTTTTTTTTATGTAATTTGATTGGATGTTGAACGATTTCTCGTGGTTTTTTTATGCTACTAGAGTCGTATATAGTTCATTGCTACAGGGACAACCGGAGAGACTATAAATTACCGCTTAATTCTGAATTTGGGTTGAAAACCACTTCATAATTTTTATTCTGATGTAGCTGGTTCCAATTCCATTTGGTATGTTAGGTGATGTTTAAATATCAGTGATAAACCTTCTTCCCAAGAGCAAGATTTGATTAGTTTGATGTTTGAACACACTAACCAATTCACCATCTACAGTAACTTTTTATTATTAACACAATGAAGATTTATGTTATGTCATGATTACATGCAGTACTATGTAATTTTGAAAATTAGATGGTATATATAATATGCACATTTCACATAATAAAAATAAACAATTTTCAAAATAAGAAAGAATGTATAATATTAATATATATATATATATATATATATATATATATATATATATATATATATAAAATTATTCGCACCTTAACGGTTGCAACTAGCTGTAGTAGTTCAGCTGATTTCCATTTCCATATTTTACCATTTTGAGAATTTTGTCTACAAAAAAAGTTTATAAGGGGGAATTTATAATTTGTTATCATTTTACTTCATTTTCATTTCCTTCATTTATTTATATTTGATGCCTGAATTCTCATTTTTTTTCCTTTTCATTTTCATTAGTTTAATCCCAAACGGAGTACATTGGACTTCTTCGGTTAAATCATAAATGGTCTTGCATTTCATTCTGGAGGCCGTCGTGAAAGTAATTTCGAACAGACAAAAATACTATAACATCAATTAATTGAATATATCTAGCGTCGTATATAGGTTAAAATAAAGTCACATTCGCAACCAGTAAAATCACTTTTAATTAAGAAACAAGAAAGGAGAAGCATTTGTAATAATATCACAAGAATTATATATAACTAGGACCATCAGAAAGTAAATGACTACAAGTAATACGATAAATAAACCCAATATAATACTTGATGAAACCCAACATGCTAAGAGGCAATTAATTACTCTGTCCGGCAAATAAATGATTCCATGAGACATACACTTCCGTTACATCAAATAGAGTAATCAAAGTAATTCAATTTTTGATCGCCATTGTTGACATGAGAAGTAAAGTGAATACAGGCTGGGGTCAGAAGGAAGGGGCACACATCAGACTTTTTCTGATGAACCAGGCTTAAGAACAAAGACTGGTGTTTTCAATTTCTATACAACAGTCCTTAAGGGATGCCAACAAAGGTATCCTCAAATTTTACCTACTAGCAATGGTTATTAGATAGCCAATAACTGCTGTTGTAAGTCCAAGTAACCCACCAGCAATGACCTGCAGTATGAACTGAGACAATTAAAAAAGAAAACCACCAATTGTAAAAATAATTTGCAATTGTAATTAAGATCAATCTCAATTTACAACTTCAGGTCATGAACGCGATTTCTCTATACTGCTGGAATACCTACTTGACCTTCCTTTTTTTCTTTCAAGAGAATATAAAATATATAACTAAAGCTAACCTACGTATCTCATCTTTGCAGAATTTGTAGCTCACTTTAATATGCAGAGAGATAAGGCGAAAGTGAGATACAGAGAGTTAGAGAAAGTGGAAATGAATCAAATAATTGGCACATTATTATCTCTGTATTGAGAGGTTCATCCTTCACTTAGCACTACATAATCATATAATATGAGTATGATAAAATCCTGATAGTACTGAAACAATGTATATAAATATAACCCTAGGAAAATCTCAGCCCTAAACATTTCAAAGAAAGTATAATATAACATGATTAAACATAGACTTGAACGTTCATAAAAGACAAATTATAACACAATTATTACCTAATTTGCTCGAGTAGTAGCAGTTATACATTGAGTAAATAACATAGTGCTCACCAAATATATTTTAGTATAAACGGTTGTGAAACATCAAAATACCCTATGCTTACAGGTTGCCAGTGAATAATTTCATTCTATCAGTTGTGAGAAGTGAAAACAAGAAAATGGCGCACTAAATTCCCTGAACTAAACTTTGATACATCAAATAATCATACGATGCAATCAAATGCAAAATGGTGAACCTGAGGGGGGGTATGCCCAAGAAGTTCGCGAAGAGGTCTGCTTTCAGCCAGAGGATGTTCAGCAGGAAGTTCGTATACAATTTGGTTCAAAACCTGGAAAAATCCAGTCATTCAAACTCAGTTAAAAAAAAAAAAAAAAAACAATTGAAACCAACCAAAACAAAAACAAAAGATGTCTTGCACTGCAATCCTAGGCAAACAGAAAAAACCTTCTATGGCATTTCAAGTCTCATGTTTGGCATGCAAGAATTACATAGGACAGAATATGGTGCACAAAGAAAGGACAAAAAGTAGAATAGGTGGAAAAAAAAAAAACTAATAGCAGAAGGCATCAAACCTCTGCTTGGCGTCCTGCTTGCAATCTTACACCAGTAGCATCATACATCACCTGCCAGTAATATCGTATATCAGAAACTCGCCCAAGCATATAAGCCAGTAATTAGCATTAGTTCCTTATTGTGTAACCTAGTTGTTTTTAGGACATCCAATCCTTTCTTAACAGCTAGTCAGTTACATAGTGCATACATGTTTATATAGTCCTGCAAGTGTAGAGATATGAAAAAAGAAAAAATAGATTGAATGTTCATTATATAACACTCTACTAAAAAAATGAAGCAATTTAACCACAAGGGGTGGCACGGTTGATAAGTGGGTTGTGCCCAAGGAGCGGACTAATGGGGTTAGAAAAAGTCTCTGGTTTGATTCTTAAGCAAAATAACTCGGGACCAATGGCAAAAACCTATGCGCTCTATGCCACAAAGGGGATCGGTCTCGTCCAAATGAGTAGAGACGCCCCCGAAAAACCAAAAAAATGAGCAATCTGGTGCTATAAAGCTTCCACTATACACAAGATCCAAGGAACACCCATTGTCTAGGTCAATAGTAAGAAGCCTTACCTTGCATTTGCAAGAGGCTTAATTACTGAGTAAAACATGTGACCTCCAAATCACATTGCAACAACACTAACTAACAGTTGTGCCAAGATTCCCCTTCTATATCACACACTCCATACTAAAGAAAATACAAAGTCCTTTTATGAAATCTTCATAAATTGATTGATTTGAAAAAACTACTAAAGTCATACAATACAAGCTAGAACCAAAGCAGTAGCAAAAAGAGGTCCTCCAAAGCCTTCATGGAACCCAACGGCCGCAGCAAGAGCAGTAACAGTAGCTGAATGAGATGATGGCATTCCACCAGATCCAACAAGTTGCTTGGGATCCCATCTTCTTTCCTTATACCTGAATAATAATATCTCTGAAGCATTAACATTTTAACACTCTTAAAGCTCAACCTAACAGCATTCAATTTTGTTTATTTATTTTTTTTAACAGTCATATAATTTAATTCAACCACAAAGATTCATAATTTTGATCACATATCATTAGCCAAACCCAAAATTTAATTACTTTTTTTTTTTCAAAAATAAAAAATTAGCGCATTCAATTCAGATCCAAATGAATAAAAAGGAAGACGAACCAGGTGGTGAAAAACTTGATAGATTGTGCGAGGGCAAAAGCAACGAGGGCGGAAACGAGAGGGTAATTGTGAAACATTGAAGACGACGTCGTAGCAGAAGCATTCGTGGCTGCCACACCATCCATCGCTTTTTTTTTCTTTCTATTTAATTTATTTTCTATAATTGGCTCGGTGCAATTCTCGATTGGGTTTTTTTCTTCTTCTTCTTCTTCTCTTTTCTGAGGTACAAAAGGATTTGCGAAGGGAACACAGTGCAGTGAGATTGATTATTCAGGAACAAGAATGGAGGAGAAGCTGGGTTCGATGGTTTTTTGTTTTCTGAAAAGGTTATTCTAACTAACGGTCTTAGGTTAGCTTTTTCAACTGAATATGCCTCCCTTGTTAAATACTGTTTAGAATATGCCCCCCAATCACATCCACTTACTTTTCTTAATATTTTTCTTTTTCGTTTTTTCTTGTTGGTATTTTAGTACAATCCGCAACGCGACTGTTGTCACTTGTGACTTGTCGACAAGACAACCTATTATTGTGTGGGTTGACCCAAAATTTGGATATTTGGATATTTGTATATGTGAATGTTCTTAGCTTAATAAAACTTTGACGCCACGAAATATCATTGATAAAATTTGATGAAATCTCTTCAGCAAAAAGAAGATTTCCTTTTTATTCTCTCTTTGATTTTTTTTATTATCTTAAAATTTTCTAATTTATTAGATAAGTAGTCCTTTTTGTTTTTCAAATATATTTTTAACTGTTATGGAATTAGGCTAGGTCTATAATCCCAAATGGGTGAAGTATCAAAATGGCAGTGAACCAAAACTCTGGGAGACACTATAGGTGTTATCTCAGGCGCGGCATAGAGAGGAGCAATGTAATACACGGCACGATGGCTTTATTTCAGCAAAGTAATAACTTATGAAGTGATGATTTTTAAATGTCCATTTATATGGAGAAGATATATTATGTATAGGTGAAAAATATTCTACCATGATTTGAGGGGGTAAAGTGGGCGGCTCGACCCGACTTGCCCCGTCATACCATTAACATACCAAAAAATGAGTCAACCCGTATCTTCCCATTTTTTAGGGTAGGTTGAAAAACTCAACTCGTCTGGTCCCGTTTAGCGGGTAGGGTGGGTTGGCCTGTTAGCTCAAATCTTTTTTATACTAACCCGCCACAACCCACTCCTTCCCGCCCGCCATCAACACGCTAAAAAATGAGTCATCTCGTTCCGCACCATTTAGTGAGTAGGGTGAATCGGCTCATCAAGCCGAGCTCGTTTTGTCGGCCCTAATCACGATCAAAGAGAAAAGAGTCATAATTATTTTGCCATACATCTCACTCCTTATGTGAGGACATGCTTCACTACATGGACGTAATGAGTTGTGCAAGAAGGTAAATGATCCTATACATTGAAATCCATGTGTTCACTGTGGGGAAGAAGGGGTATGACCCCTTCATGGACCTTTGACAGGCCGACCCAAATGTTATTACGCCAGTGATGATCAGTCCAGAACATATTCATTTTCAAAATCAGTCATTTAACATGTCTCCGGTCAATGCCACATTGCTGTGAGAGCGAGAGAGGGGGAAAAAAAAGAGAAAACGAGTTAATCTCCAAAAAAAAAAAAACGAGGGGATCTCCAGTCTGTTCACGTGAGCTGCACGTGGATGTTCAACTCACTCACTCAATTCAAGCCAAAAGGAATAGGAATAGACTAGCAACAACGTTAACGAATATGAATGCTTTTCTACTTCACACTTCCTTTGATAGATTACTTAATTGAGATGGAATAACAAACAAGAATGCAGCAAGTGGAGGGGGGCACACAGCACAATCCTCCAAAATGCCTCTTAACTAATTAATGGCCTACCAACCAAAAAAAGAAAGAAGAGAAAGAAAAAATTAAAAAACAACTTTACAATTATGTCAAACACAACGTGGCATTTGTTACAAAACATATTGGCACCAGCATAAACCAATAAGTACAACCTGAATATTGCACTCTCACATTATGATGCAATTGCACTTTGATTCGAGCTTTGGGGGCTTCATACTATCTACCTTGTTAGGAAGCCCAACATTGCGTGTGAAAGACTCATCAATGTTTTCATCATTCTCAGTCTTGCCAGAAGGGGTTTTGACATCAGTTTCCACCCTCCTTTTCCTGGTCTTCTGAGATTTCAAAGTGTTGTTGTGCTTGCTAACAGGTCTGTTGCGAATACCCTTTCTATCAGAATTGGGTTTCCCCAATAAAGTCACTGTTGGTTCAGAACCTTCAAACCGGTCCGAGCATTCCTTTTCCATTGCTATTGTTGCAGCCTGATATGCAAGATCATGGATGATAGAACTGCAAAAGAGTATCGTATCGGTCGCTTCTTCAAGTGTCAGGCTTCTAGTGTTGCCTACACCTTGACATTCCACTGTAACTGTTGATCCCTCTGGCATAAAAGCATTAGAGAACTGTTAGCAATGGACCGTGTACTAATATTTTCTAAGAAGGCACAATGTACATAGAAAGGCAGAATCTTTAGAAATAGAAATCTGAAGTGCATTTCTTTGATCCATGAACCTCATGTAAATTAAGGCTCCCCACAACAATAAAAAAATATAAGTTCAGATATCATTGCTTGCTGAACCCTACCCAAAATGATAGTAAAGTACAATGAATGGCATTTATTATCATAGACCCATTCAGTGATCTTTTATATTAAGAAAGTAGCTTAAAACACCAAAAAAGTCTTATTCTTAACAGAGAAGTTAAAAACTAGACTAATATATTAGCCTCTGATGTCCCGAAGGCACAGATGAATGAGCATCGGAATACAAAACATAGATCTGGTATTCATCACTAGAGTAGTATCCCTGATTTTACATTGCAGAAAATAAATCGATATACAATACTTCCGAATATCCTAATTCCTAAATATTATTTTTATCCTTTTTTCTTCCATCCTTAAGTACTTTTCATTTGGATTCATCTGCCACCAATCCCAATTAGTTTGGGATAAAGGTGTTGTTGATGTTAATCCTTGTTCCTAACTATCTCTCAAAAATCAATACTGAATTTCAGTAGCCCACTATTAGCAACAGATGAAGCAGATTAACTGAGATTAGATTGTCATTCTATGAATTTTTGTATCTCACAAAATTGCTCAAAATTATAACATTATAAACTGTGTGATGTGTGCATAAATGAATGCATCTCTGAGAGGAGGAGGAGGAATAATGAGAAGCTAATATTCTCATCTCAATAGTTATCAATAGTATCCTTCATTTGAAATTTCAGTGCAGTAAATATATACCAATGCCATGAGGCTCGGAAGCATTGAGCGCTGAAGCAGAAGCAGTAAGACAATCATTGGAAGGATTTTGAGCAGAAGGTTCCTGAAAGTCATCCGGAGCGCTCTTTGATACCAGGGACAGATCATCATTCACCGTGCCAGTATTATTCTTACAATTGTTTTCCCCTTCTATTTCTGATGCTGTAATTGTAGAACAGTTGGTAGTAACCAAAGTATCCGGTTCATTATTAACATTAGAACTCTGCACATCATATTTTTCATGAAAGAATATCTCTGGAGCCGTAACTGATGTTTCAGTATTTGAGACACACCTTGCATTATTTGGGTCGTCTTCAACATTTTCATATGAAATACAATCCCCAAGATTTGGAAAGGATGTCACAGAATTGTCATCAGACCGAACACCAGCAGTCTGACTACAAAATTCTGAGCTGCAAGCATTATTTTTTGCTCTACTACTATCATCACATTCAAAATTTTCTTCCTCAACAACAATCGAACCAAAAGAAGCATCATTTACATCTGTCACTGTTTTTTGTGAAGCTAGCACTTCTTGGAAAACTTGTGGTATCTCCTCTACAAAGCCACATTCGGTATAGCCAGAAGTTTCTAGAGTTGCAAGACCAAATTCTTGGTGAGAATGGTTTGAAGTTCCGGGGAAAGATGAACTAGTGCTTGGAGGCTTGATCCTTAAGTCATATCCACAGTCCACATCCAATTTCCTGCCACTTAACTGCCTTTGCACACGAAACTCTGTCTGCCTAGTTGAGCTGAAATCAACCGATGATGAGGCAGAATAATTGCCCGGTCTTGGTGAGCTTCTAATACTGTTTACACTGTCTCTGGCAAGAGACAGATCATCGTAAGATATGGTTGTGGCAGTAAAACTCCTGCTCTGAACTACAGTTCCTTTGTTGCTGCTAGACCTTTTTAGCAATACAGAAATGCCAGTGCCTTCCATGGGGTCCATGTTCAAATTTTGGTGATCATTGCAGTGATACAACTGCTGATCCCCATATTCATTATCAGGCCTCTTGCAATCAACTCCTGATTGATTCATCTGTAGTTGGTTTGTAGACACCTGCCCTCCTCCCTCCGCCAATGAACTTGGAAGAGGACTGTTTTGTGAGCGATCATATTCATGGATTAATTCACAGCATGAAGTTTGACTTTCCTCAGCATCCCGTTCACAAACATGAAACCTCAAGTCACCTGCGACAGTCTCTTGAGGCAGTTCGGATGCAACTGTTGGTTGGTTTGTTTTAGTTAAAGACTTTTCTTCTTCAGGCAAGTTTGTAGAAATCACTGAAGTGTCTTCGGAAACTACCAAAGTTGTTTCAGGGATGATGACTCTTAACAGGGTGGTTTTCCTGCTGCATTCTGGACAAAGCCCAATATTCTTCTCAGCTTGAGTAGAAACCTCATAACAGCAACCACAATGAGAACAGATTGCTGTATTTTCAAAACTACCAGTTTCAGAGATGTCACCTCTGACCTGGTAAGTTTCTGAACTTTCATTTACTTCAATGTCAATCTGACCATGATAAACAGAATCCTCAGATTCAGTCACACCAGAAGCAGTCTTGGGGTCTCTAGCTTCATTTTGCAGGATATCAATTGATTCCTCATTGGTCTCATGCTCAATGTTTGCATTTAATACATCAATTTTATCAAAGGAAAACACTTCTTCATGTATATCAGGAAATAGTATCTTCTCAGTTTCACTTGCTACATCATCTTGATTGTGGTCACTCCCTTCAGTATCTACTGCAAAACTTGTACCTTGATCAGAGCTTGCATTGCTGCTTGTTGTGACAGAGGAATTCCTAGACACAAGGGAACGATGTGCAGAATTTGCTTTTCCAACATAAAAGGTTGTGCTTGGAACACTTGATAAGAGTGGCCTGAACATGTTCTGAGGACTTTTTCTGTCCTGCATAGTATTTTAATGGTAACTAACAAAAGTGAGTAGTTTTATTAAATCCAACTATTAAAAGGCACTCAAGAAGAAATAACGGCAAAAGGAGATGGGCGAGGGGCAGGGAGAATTGCACAGGTGTAGACCCAATAGGAAAACACCAAAATTTCCTTGCTAATATGTTCACCAAACATTAGCTTCTCTGTCACAAAGATCACCAAAGGTGTCTAAGTGTCAATCGATGGACAAACCCAGTTATAATGATTATGTTAGTGCAAGCATGCTATATTATAAGCAGATCACTAAACAAACTCAATGATGACTTAATAAGAAGCCATTAGCTCAGAGTAGTTGTCTAACGAAGTGTAGTTTAAAAATCAATGTACACATGAAAGAAAACATGCACCAGAAATCAAGCATAAAAATAACAAATGAAAATTCAGATAGTACTGAAGATTATATTTGGATAAAGCAAATATTACTGCAAAGATTGGTAGCCCGGAAGGATGCTGGAATTGGTCAAATGTCCATTGTGTAACCTGGTACACATCAAAAGGGAAGTGCAAAAAGAAGAAACAGAATGTTTGTGCGGGTCGGTGTGGGAAGAGAGAGAGAGCACAGAGGCACAGAGATTACTATCCTAAAAGGAACTAATTCTTAAATGGCACAAAAACTAAACATGATTCATGATCGCCTACTAACAACTTGGCAGTAATCCATACAGTGATTGAGAAAGGAAATTAAGTGAATTAGATGAGAAAATACCATTTGCCGGAGAGCAGAGTCAAATGATTTCTTAGGAGCAGAATTTGGGGATGCAATCCTGGTTGATTTCTTGGGAAATGTGGGAGTTCTGTTGGTTGAAAATGAACCATCCCTTCTAGAACTAATTCTGTCTAAGCTACCCACTGGGATGGATTGTACAGAGTCCAGATCATCATCCCCAGATGATGCAACAGAACCTTTGCTGCGTGAACTAAATTGGTCTCGATCATGACTATGAAAAGAGCTACTGCTCCTAGAAGCAGTTGGAGACATTGATTGCCTACTGAATTTGGAGGTGGAGTCCCTACCATTTCTGGATGCTGGAGATGAACCCCTCACATATGATGCTGGTCGATCAGCCAATGAAGTACGAAGATTGGGAGGAACTTCAGAAGAGAAGCCAGGAATATTAGTTTGCCATGCCCTTATCTTTGGTGATGCAGAGTTTCCACGACTTGTCTTAATTGGGGAAGTTCCCCTAACTCTTGATGAGACTGCAGAACCACTGGAGCCGGTGCTCATCCTCTGGGGAGTAGAAGTGGACGACTTGGAAGCAGGGGTCATGGGCTTATTGGGAGGTGGAGATGGTCTTCTTGATGGAGTGACATGCCGCAAACTTGGGGACGGACTAGAATTTGGCATTGATGAAGGCCTTCCCCTTGATTGAAATGTATTAGTTCCGGAACGAGGGGATGGACTTGAACGATTTGGACTTGCACTACCCCTACTGCTTCTGTAACTTTTCTCCATCTGAAACAGGAGGACATCCAACATAAGATGATTAATAAGTATAAGCACAACTACATTTTTCAATATGAAAAAAAAAAACTCTTGAGGAATTTTTTTCCGAAAAATATAACTCTGCATAAGCATAACTATAAAAATGGATTCAAAAGCTCACCGTAGAAGATCTTGATATAGAAATCGGTTTACTCTGAGGCCTTCCTCTGCTTGCAACAGTAGTTGGTGGGGGTTTATCATCTAATGAAGGAAACAGTGGTGTGTCCGGGGGTGTCAATAACCTTTGAAAGGAATAATACAGACATGGCATCAGTGAAGTGAGCAGTGATGACCAGAAATCAATTGATGAACACTAAAGTCTCAAGCTTTATGATCAAGAAACTTGAATTATTGTCCAACCACATCAATGCATTATTAAACGTTAAATAAAGACAATTGCAAACAGTTAGAATCAGAATCATTAAATTCAATCACAACACACAATGTGGTTTACCAGAGGAAAGTTAAAAACAAGGAATAGGACCCACCAGTCATAGTCATTCTTGTCACCATCTGCATTAAGCAAGTCACTCGTTCCTCCCCGACCAGGAATGGAGATTCCAAGGTTGGCATCAGAAAAACGTCTCAATTTTGTAGCTGTAAAATAATACCAAAGGCAAAAGGAAGAAACACATCAATATTACCCAAAAACCAAAAACGGACACATTCTCTCTTCTTAGAATGTCAGTAAAGAAAAATTACAGAATGAGTCTTCCAAGTCATCTGACGACTGAAGCAAAAAACTCTCTCTTTCTCTGGACTGCATTTCATTGAACAAAGCAAGATCATCATCTTTCTCCCGGAAAAGCAATCCGCTTTCAAGACTGCGACCCCGCCTGTGACCATCTGCTCTTGGCTCTCTTCCAGGAGAGAATCTCAATGCCGGGGAAGGTGGCATCTCCACCACCCAATGCAGTGTCAGACAAGTGTCACCTTGAGCTTTCCATACAAGCCAAAATCAAGAACCTTCTACACCCTAACAAGCAACCCATAATAATTAACCTCAAGCCTGCATCAAATTCAAGCCCCAAACATCAGTTACAGCCAAAAGGAGGGGGAAGAAGAAGCTTTAATTCCCCATTTTCTATATTAGTTTGATAGCTTCTCTAAAATCTAAATACTACCCAATACTTTTACTACCATCATGCTGAGTGTGACTGAGTAAACTAAACTCTGCATATGTTAACGAATGAAAGTAAATTCGGCATATTAAAATAGTGACTCATTGGAAAAAACTGTACCATTCAAAATGCAATGCCTCAGCATTCATATGCAACAAATACTCAAAACCAATTAGACCCTGAAACCCTAAAACATTTGCCAGTTACAGATCCCAATTGTGGGGTTCACAGTTAAAAGGGAACCTAATAGAAACCCGAAATTCAACTTCAGGACCCCATTAAGCAGTCATTGAAGTTGAAAGGAAGATAGCAAAATACAGCATTGGAAAGTAGCAGCTGGGATTGACTTACCAAATTCCCAAGTCAAATTGCTTCAAAGAGAGCGTTGAAGGTGAAAGAGTGCACTTAAGATCCCAAGTTCGAAGATAAAACAGAGCTTATATGCCAATTACAATGCGACGAATGTTGTATCAGACAACCGGATCTATAGCATTCATGGCTATGTCCGAACGACCAAAGTACAGATCGAAAACTAGATTGATCCAACGGTTACAACAAACACTAAAAATAAAATAAAATAAATAAATAAATAAATAAAAATTATTGTAGTATTCTCTCTCCTCACAAATTGCTTTCCTTTAATTATTAAAAACACTTAACAATTATAGAGCGGAATTTAAGAATAATATCCAAAATCTTTTTTGTCGTGGGATTTTGCTGCTTCCCTCAACAGCAAGCATCCAATACTTTCCTCTTTTTTCCTTTTTTTAGCGTCTTATTTATTTTTTAGTTAAAAAAGACATTTTCACAAATTAAGTTGTATATCTGAATAATATAAGGGTTTGTTTTTTCTGCATGCATATAAGTTATCTGCAGTAAGTCCAATACGACGTCATTTTGTGGCAGAAATCATGATATTTTTGTAATTTTAATTTATTTCAGGATTATTATAGTCTTTAAAATAATAATTTTTAAAATTTTAAATCTCAAAATAACGTCATTTTAAAAGTAAATACAGATAACTTATCTGCATTAACTGCAGAAATATTTTTCTCATAATATAAAGAACTTGGCCGAACATTTTAAAAAGACAAAAATATTAGTACATTCTAAACATTATTTGACAGCTGCTATAAGATACATTATTCTAAATAATAACAATAATAATGGAACCTATTAGCATTGCTTCCGGTAAATTTAATATTATTTATTGAGCTAACTTTCATTTGTTCATGTCTTAGTTATTAATTACATTTAGTTTAATAGATTCCAAACATTATTAATTTGACAACTATTAAAGATATATTACTCTTAAAAAAATGAAAGCTAATAGCTTTGCGTCAACTCAATTTAAGCTTAATTATTGAGATAACTTTCATCATCGTAAAAAAATAATTAAACAATACAATTATACAAGGGACATATAAAATCAAAAAAATAAAGACCATAATAATATGAATATATAATGTAAAAATATAATGTTAGTAAATTATGTACATCCTCGAAACGAAATAAAAATCAAAGAAGACGGTATAAGGGGAAAAGGGTACTTTTGTATTATAATTTAAAAGATAATATGAAAATGGAATTTATAACTAAATAAAAAAGGAATACCAAAAAAAAGGGCATATTCTCTCTCTCTAGGGGTTTCATTTTCTTATGCTCTATGAGAATTGAATTCTCGTGTTCTGACTTAATCAGTAGTGAGTTCCACATTTATTATATAAAAAAATACATGTAAATCGAATGATCACAACATGATAATTGAATTCTCATGCAGCATTAGAAAATATTTTTTCATATATATATATATATATATATATATATATAAATAAGGGAAAAACATTTCTCAAGCAGCTTGAGATAAATTTATCTCCAGCTACCCCAAAATTACGTCGTTTTATTTATTTATTTCCTTATGTTAATTGATTCATCTTTGAATGGTTATGATTCCCTTTTGTTCTCTCTTCTTTTATCACCATTGATCTATCTCTGTACGGTTGTGATTTACTAGCCGGAGATAAGATTATCTCAAACAGCTTGAGAAACGATAAGTCATATATATATGTGTGTGGGGGAAAACAAATGTTATGTCACTGGATATTGAAGAATTTTTCTACTAACCCTTCGTAATCCGTGATTTTTTATTTATTTTTTGTTTTTTCAAAACAATAAGTGGACCCTACAACTTGTTGGCTGTGTCGCGGAAAATTAGTCGAGTAACAGGACATTTGACAAACCCATATATATATGAGTTTATCATCTATCATTTAATATGACCACAAAAATTTTTCTACACTCACAATATTTTGTGGGGCCCGCAACAAAAGAAAAAAAAACTCCGGCACGCAAAACGAATCTCTATAACATAATACAATCACTTTTCTTACAACATAACTCTTACAAAATCATATACATATAGGGAATAACATCTATCCTTTTAAAGGATATAAGTTTATATCCTTTTAGATCCTAACCGTTGATTTTCGTCCATCAACGGTTATAATTTATTGGATTAAAATTATTAATTAATTAATAATAAATTTGGCCCATTAAATTTGGCACAATAAATTATAACCGTTGATGGACGGAAATCAACGGTTAGGATCTAAAACGATATAAATTTATATCCTTTAAAAGGATAGATGTTTTTCACATATATAAATATATATATATATATATATATGTAAACAAAGAAGAAAATGAGCTCAGCTTGCCCTATTATGTTCTGCCGTTAGTTGTAATGAATGTAATTTAAATAAAATAAATAAATGAAAGGGTTCGTTTTCCCTAATAACCTTATTTTAGAAGAAAATTTTGTCTAATATTTACTGAAATGATATTATTTTAAGACAGAAATTATAATGTGTTTGTAATTTTCAAAGTTATAATAATCTTTATTATTCTAATTTTTAATTTTTCAACTGTAAAATAACATCATTTTGGTGAATATTAGACAAAATTTTCTAAAGTAATATTAAATATTTTTTATATATAACAATATTAAATACTTTATTCCCTAAATGAATGGGTTCATTTTTTCTAATCTTATGTTAGAAAAACTTTGTCAGATTCATTTATAATATGATAATGATTCAGTAAAAATAGGCGTGGTTGTTTTATATAAATCATGTGTAAAAATTAATTTTACAAATTTATAATATGACGAAAATATTATTCAATGAATTGTATAAAAGTAAATGAAAAAATGTATTGATCATAAATTTGTGTAATTTCCATTACTATCTTTTTAGTCTGTGACTTTGTGCTGCCGTCAATAGTGCCGTGTTGAAAGAACCATTTCCTTTGTTGAGAAACTATTAGCCATTTTAAGTACAGTCGGTGAAAAGCATTCTTGCACTTTTCGTGAGTTACGGAGTTCATTATCTCATTATTTATTTGCTAACAATGGTTAATAATTTTAGTTATAAATAAGCTCCAAGAGTTAGAGTCTGAAAGTGAATAATTGGATAGAAAGCATGTCAAGTAGGCCATATAGCATTATCAAGCAATTCTCAAAGTTTAATTTCTTTAATTTTGCAATAATACCACTGATTTTTCCATGTAGATGTCTTTTTCATTTTCTTCATTTTTAATTGCTAGAAAAAATTGGATTTTATGAGATGTATACTTTCATAGCCTAGAATAATTGTGATGGTTGTGAGATGTTCCATTAATGCCTGCGATGCGTTCCAACTTGAGAACAGAATTTGGACCCTTCTATTGTATGAATGGCATGGCAACACACAAGCACTAGATTTAGAATTTATTGCAATGAAATTTTGGGACAAGGTTATTGAATTGCATACCAAATTCAACAAATGTTATATTGACCCGGAGGCAGGCAGCAGAGCAACCAATAGGTTTGCCACGCTGGAAATCCCAAAAGCGAAAAAAAGAAAAGATAGAAAATATAGTTTGGCACAGATCTGTGTATTTAAGCTTAAAAAAATGAATAATAAATGAGTTTAATAAAATATAACGTTTACATGATATTTTTTGTGTCATGTCATAGATACATAAATATTACGAGCCCCACTGCATAAAGAAAAAACGAAAAAAAAATTAGAAATATGAGAATCGAGTGTGTAGAAAAAAATTGTGTTATAATATGACACTTTTGTTTCCCATTATAAATTATGTAAACTTATTATCTATATTGCACCGACACGAGACACGAGACATAACACGACACTCTGACACGTTAATTTTAAAAAATGTTAAATTTTGACATGTTAAGACACGTTTTGATATTATATAATTTTTAATTTATGTAGTGTATATTATATTTAGTATTCAATAATTTAACAAAAAATAAAGCTAAACTTACAATATTCATCAATTTTGCAAAGAAACATAAGATATCCAAATGTTTATAACATAAGATATCCAAATGTTTATATTAAACTCAATAAAATAAAAATCGTAATTGAACGATTTAATAGTTGGAACTCAAAATGCAACGCAACATAACCTTTGAATCTTTTTTGAGCCTTTGCAACAAGTATTGAAGTGTCAAAAAATGTCAAAATATCGGTGAGTGTCAAAAAATGTCGGACACGACCAGTGGCGGAGCCTCGACCCGGGCTAAATTTTAACAAATTGTACTTATGATTTATAATTATATAATTAATTATAATTTGTCCCAATCTAAAGTTGTAATTTGGCCCGGGCTAAAATTTGTAATGTGGCCCTATCAAAAAATTAAAATATATTTGGTGAGAGATTTGGGTAAGTTGTATTAAGTTATGTGTTCTATTTTCATTTATATAAAAAAAATTAAAATCTAGGAAAAGCTTCAAAAAAAAACCCTTAGGTAGTGTTTGGTTCGAGAGAAAAAAAATTTCGCTAGGGAAATATAATTACTAGGTATCTGAGGGGAGAGTGAGTTATATAGAAAAGTTTAAAAAATGTTGTTTGGTTGGGCAAAATTTTACCAGAAAAATTGAGTTAAATTACTGAATGTGTGTTTGGTTGAAGATAAAATATAGATGGAAAAATTTAATCAAATGAACCCCAATTGAAATAACCATGTATTTGTTAAAACCTCGTTTATATGAAAAGTTTTAATCTTGATTGGAAGTTTCTGATTTTGTGTTTGTGGTACCTGGTAGTGATGCTTTTGACTTTGTTATTGGTTTGTTATCTGTGTATGGTGAGTGTCTTGTGCACCAAATTTAAGTTTCAAGACTTTAGAACTCATTTTTATGCATTTAAAATATCAGCCATAGGTCTGGCTGTTCATATGTGAACCCAGAACATTGTATTTTTTTAAAAAATCTTTAGCTTTCTTGCATGAAAACTTAATTGGTTTGTGAATATATTAGTATCAGTTCGTGGTGGTGCTTGAATGGGAAATAATTTTGTATGGTGGTGCTTTTAAGTCGTAAGAAGTGAAAGGATGGAGTGATGAGGGGTAACTTTGTCAAAAAAATTGTCCCCTTTTCA